ACCGTTGCCTCCTTTTCTTCCTCTTCCACCTTTGCCTCTTTTTCTTCCTCTTCCCCCTTTGGCTCCTTTTCTTCCTCTTCCCACGTTGCCTCATTGTCTCCTGGCCACCCAAATCTCTCAATAGTGTCAATTAATGTAAAGAACCAATCTTTTATGAAGGCATCCTCATCCTCTTCATTAATGTCTCCTCCATCCAGGATTGATTTCTTGAGGGAATTAATAAACTGCACCAGATCCGCATCTTCTTCTTCTTCTCTTGTTTGAACGGGACAATGGGTAAGGGTGCGTTCTTCACCATCATCATCGACATAGGTAATAGGTTCTGGGAGGATTGCTTTTCCTTGATCGTCGATAAGTGGGAGTGTGACGAAAGTCAGCTCAAAAACATGCACCACAATCTCCGGAGGTAAGGACCCATGATGTGAGATGGGAGGAGTGTCCCGACGGAGGTAGTCCGTCTGTAGACCAAGGAAGCTCAATGGTGGACTCCCTTTTCTCCCGCCAATCCGTCCCCTCCAGGAACTCCCTCATAGTTGTATCGTCTCCCGGAAAGATTAATTTCAGGAGGCTCTGCACTTCGAACGCAACTGGTGAGGAGGAGGAGGATGGGGTGGCTGGAGGAGGAGATAAGGCGGCGGCGGGGATGGGGGCTGCTGCTGCTTTCAAAAAGGAAATTGCATCCTCGTCCGCCGTGAAATTGCATCTGGCTGTGTAACGGACGATGACTTTAGGTACGGATTCCGGTGAAGCCGACATCCTTGTTTGTCTGTTTATCAAATATCAATGAATGCCCCCAAAACTTCCGACGTGTTTACAGACTGCCGCCGGATTTATAAGGGAGGGGAATATGGCGATGTCCGATGCCGAAGAGGAATGGGGTTTTAATTAGAAATCTAAAATGAATCCCTCAACTTTGTATCAATTACCCATTAGGCACTCAAATTGTGATTTAATTGGGTTGCATCCTTACATTTTATCAATTCGATTCGTGATTCCTATTCGAAAAACATGATTCATATTCGTTTTAATCGAATTCAAATCTGAACACGAATCAAGTTTTAGATTCGAATTATATTCAAATATGAGTATTAATAGATTCGATTCGACTATATTTCAAATTATTCAAATAGTATAAATAAATAAATATACACTAATACGCCCCTAGTTGTTTGTATACCTCGGATTAAATATTTAATGGTCAAGTTCATTATAATACGGAGTATCAAACAAACTCAATCTTATTTATTCAAATAGTATAAATTAATAAATATACACTAATACACCCCTAGTTGTTTGTATACCTTGGATTAAATATTTAACGGTCAAGATCCTTACAATATCAAACAAACTCAATCTTATCTATTTTTATCAATCACCTTATTCATCACCACATACACTCAACGCTACTTTCAATTTCATTGATCGTCCTCATCTTCATATATCAAATTTGTCATCCAGTACTGTAACACAAAGTGTTATAGGCTTCCAGTGTTCATCTTCCTTTCCAGCATCACAAGTTTCATAAGTTTAGAGTGTCAGCCCAATATTTTCCCTTCTTCAAGTATATTCCTTTTGAGGACGTTGCTTCCAAATTTGTACTCCCTCCGTCCTAGTTTAAATCGCCTGTTTTGACTTTTGGACATATTTAAGAAAAATAAAAAATATAGTTGATTTTTCAAAATTGACATTACTTTTTAAGAGGGGTAATGATGAATGAGAAGATAAGATGAAAAAGAATGACTTATTTTAAGGGTAGTTTAGGTATTTTATTTTTAATAGTTTACAAAAACAACTAACACGCAATTTATTTTGGGACGGAGAAAAAAGGCAAATAGGCAATTTAAAATCGAATGGAGGGAGTAACAATTTAGTTTACTCGTAGTTTATAAAAATTGTAATGTACGATCTTTAGAAAACTTGTTCAAAAAATTTTACTATTATCAAATTCGGATTCATGAAATATGTTAGCGAGTCAAATACAAATGTTTCTTAAAATTCGAATTATATACGAATTTGAATTTGAATAAATATCATTTCAAATGAATTCGAATCGAATAATGAAATATTTGCTTTGATTTGTATACACCCCTACATTTATCGCACACTCTAGCCATGGACACGATACGGTCTAATATGACGGTCAGCAAAGCCTCTTTTGTCTCAGAAGTAAACAGTGACGATATTGATTTTGGAACCGGTAATTCTTGTTTAGTTTCGGTCTATTATTTCATTTTATATTTTGGATATAAAAAATGACATGGCAAATTTTTATGTCTACATGTAATTGTTATTTACTACTTCGTATGTAAAAGTGAAAATTATGTAGTGCAAGTACCAACTACGTTTAATGTCATTATAGTTAAAAAATGATAAGACAAATATTCATAAAAAAAACCTTTCAAAAGATCTAATAAATCGTTCACCTAAAAAAATAATTTACAATTATAAAAAAATTGAGTAAGTCATTCGTTTGAACAATCACTTCCATCCATGGTTACATCCGCGTAGTTTTGTTTATCCATGTCATATTCTGCCTCTTGTGCTAAAAGTCTCATCAAGAGTCAATCTCGGTTGCAAACTAGTACGGAGTATTATCTCCAGTGATTCAACATCGAGGAACTTCATAAGTCGATCAAAACATTGTCTATAGAACTAATTTCTTATTACAGGATTACCATTGAAATTAAATTTGATCAGGCTCTAGTAACCAAACCCCAAACATGTAACCGGTACCGGGCGGCCCAATTTCCGGTACAGGTTCGCCTCCCCCACCGTCCAGTGATGGTGCCAAAACTGCTTATTCCAGTTTCGATTCAGAACTGGCACTGTGTCCAATCGTGACTCCCTTCAATCAAGATGGAAAATCTAGATCAGATCAGGTGCATATTCGATCATTTTAAGTTCAGATTACATCAACTTTGGTTAAATTTGGAAATTCATGTTCATGGTCCAATGTCATTAGATTATTATGAATTCATCAAGGTATGACATTTCTTTTGAGAAAACTAAAATTTACACTAGTCCTTGTAATTTATATTATACTCCCTCCGTCCTAGAGTATTTGTCCACTTTCATTTTTGCACACCATCCAATACACCTCTTTAATTCATTTTATCTTGTAATTTGTATATTAAAAAATTGTAAAAATTATATATTAATAATCTATATGTTAAGAAAAATCAAACAAGATCACACATGACTATATTTAAGCTTACACATTGAGAGAATTTGATGAGTCAAAGTGCTTAGATGAATAGTTCCAAAAGTCAAAAGTAGACGAATATAGCGTGACGGAGGTAATAGATAATAAGAAAAGTATGTCTTTATATATTACTCCGTAATATATAGAGCAAAAAAGTTATCAAAAAAGGTTTTGCCGATTCCAGTTTCGACTCTCACACACACACTAAAGTTATCAAAAAAGTAATTTAAATTTTGAAGTATAACTCTTATATATTTAGAGCAATATCATAAATTATGCAAAAACAATTTTATATTAAAAAAATAAAAAAATAAAAAAATAATATATATATATATATATATATATACACACACACACACACACACACATATATATATAGATATATATATATATATATATATATATATATATATATATATATATATGAATGTAGGTATGTATATATGTATGCATGCATGCATAGAAAAAAAAGTGACAAGTTAAACTTTCATCCCAGTTTGATTTACAATGATTGGCTGAAGTTATTTTTAATTTAATTTATTTGACTATTGACATAAAATTACTAAAAAATAAAATTTATATACTTAAAAGAGTTATATGCATGAACAGTCCTTGTGGTCATTCATAAATGAGTAAATAGTCCTTGAACTTTTAAAGATTATAAAATAGTCCCTATGATAAAAAAACTATTGCAAAATCATTCCCCTATTAGAGAATTTGCTAAATGTGCACAAGAAATGTGTATTATGCAAATATGAATTTCAGTTGTGATGTGAGGATATTTCTTTTCCGGAAAATGAGCCAACAGAAACAGGTTCTCCTCGATCAGACTTCAAACCAAACAACAGAAAATGGAAAATAACTTGAGGAAAACAACTCATTTTCCAAAGGTTAATTTCCTCGTTTCCAAACGATTTTATGGTGAACTGTTATCATCAATCAACTTAATGGCCCATACATTAAGTTGTGATGAGACAACAAACTACAATGGAGTCAAGTCTGGGGTATATGTGTCTTTGGTGCAAGATAAATCATGTTACCCTTTGCACTCTTGTGCCATTCCACAGATTGTGAACATTTCTTGAGTTCATGTTTTTCCTGGCCATGGAATGTTGATTTGATTCTTTGGATGCTTTCTGCATTTCAAGAAAAGTTGTGCCACACCCGGTCTACGAAGGGTTTGGGAACACCAATTATACACCTCGGCGTCTGCCAAATGCAATAGAATTAACAACATACTCAAACTATCTCTCATTAAAAACTCTATAAAAAGAACCACTTTCATTTAGTCTTAAACTAAGTGAGGTCAACAGAGCACACGATTTAGGGACGAAAGGGGTGTACCTTCTGATATGCATTTATAGAAAGTATAAAGTAATATAACAAAAGGAGATTTACTTAGACAGCCGAATGTAGGATGTTTTCCTTTCATTTTGTAGAGCCTTCTTTGTCACTCGCATCCTCCTCAAGTATCGTTGGATGATCTTTCCAAAAATTTGGTTCGATTATATTACAATGTTCAACCACAACTTTCTTATGACATTCTTCTATTGCACCGTTGGGACTACATGCTGCTTTTAATCCCTCCTGGATACAACAAAACCCCCACACAAACATTTATTGAAGAAATCCTGATGTAGAAATATACACTGAAATTTGGAAGAACAGAATCACAATATATATACTCCGTATATTTTAATGATTATCAACTTGGATACATCTGAAGTATATAAGTTAGCTATTCAGTGTTCAATGAATCTGGCTAAAGTGAGCCCCAGATTCATTGTGAGACCACTGTGTTGGAGGATCTATTTTTATTTAAGTGCTTAGTAGACATGCAATGATTTTTCAAAAACATATGCTTTCCTTTATTTGGTAAACAAAGGGAGAAATTTATTTCCCCTGGAAAATTATTTTGCATTGAGGAGAGGAAAATCATTCTTGTTCTGCGACTTGAATACTTAATTTTAATCCCCATTTCATATGTGTTCTGCATAACTTTTTTGCACGCATATAATGATAGCTTATGGAGATGGATGTTTTTTTGCATCACCATTATGAGAAAAAAATATGGAAGTTGACAAAAATCTGGCCTAAGAAGTAAGACAAGGAAACATACTTGCAAAATTGCAAACACTCCTTGTCACCTATCTAAACAAGATTTTACTTCTTTAATGTAAAAAGTGAAGTACATTAATGTCAAGAAAAGCAGGGAAAGGCATCCATATCCATTCCCCTGTGGAGCCAAAGACTCACTATTTTTTGGCTTTGTGGTAGTGATCGAATTAAGAAAATTGGATCTTTAAACTGTTTGCACTTCTTGCAATTGTGAAGTTGCATGCAACTTTCGACACTCATCAAGGGTATATATATATATATATATATACACACGTGTGTGTGTATGACTGAGCAAGGACGAGGGCGAGGTTGGTAGGTGGTGACTTTGACCACTTCTCGTTGGAGATAGGGTTACATCATGGTCTGCCCTTAGTCTTCTATGTTTGAACTGATGATGGATGCTCGGACGCAGCATATTAGACCAGGGAGGTACCCTGATGCATGTTATTCGCTGAGAACATTGTTCTAATTAACGGGATTCGTAAGGAACTCAATGGGAGTGTGGGGCCAGTCTTAGAGTCCAAAGGTTTCTAAGAGCATCCCCAACCATTGAATTTTGACTTGTTAAATGTCATAATTTGGCAATCCATTTCAACTTTTATGCTCCAAGGGGCTTGCTATAATATAACACACTTGGTAAATTTGACTTTGGCTTGTTATAAACAGCAAACCTCTCAAAATATAGCAAACCATGATATTGATTAAATACTTGATTTCTCTCTCTTTGTTTCTCTCATTCACCTTTTCAAAATATTTAGTTACTTCTACTCTTTAATTTTTCATTTTTTGTTAAGTTTTTTCTCCACTCTTTGATTGATATTCATTAAATGTTTAAAATAGTACTCCATATATTTTATAATTTTACCTAAAGTAAAATATTACTCCAGTCTCCATATTATTTTTTTGAAATTATTATTTTTAAATTACATACTTATTAGTTATTGTTTATAATATAAAATAATAATTTAATTAATTACGGAGTATTATAAATATGTATTATAATAGTGAAAACAATATAATACTATTGTTAGCTAAATTATAGCAAGGGAAGAAGTCTCCTGGAAGAAGTCTTAATACTATTCAAGTAGGGGTACAGTCTGCGTGCGCACACAATCTAGACCCCACTTTTGTAGGATTTTATTGAGTATGTTGTCCTCCTAAAGGGTGTGTCGTGTATTTGTGTATTTATGTATGTGTGTGTGTGTGTGTATGCATGCATGAATACTATGTATGTATGTATGTATGCAAGCATGTGTGTGTCAGTGTGAGTGTTTTGCAAAATCATGCCCCATAGTACAAAGCAACAAAGGAATTACCACGTCCCAGAAGACAGAAGACCCCTGACGGAAAATTAGTGGTAAACTGTGATAATCAATGCCATATCTGGAGAGCAGATCATTTTTTTCCTGAGTTTGCGTACCCTACAAAACAAATATATTCAGTATAGAATCTAATGCTCGATTTGTTGGTGTGGGCTGTCACAGTGTGTTTTGCACTATTGCCACACCTGATACAAATCAGCTTATGCACTGTATGTCTGTATTGAATAACGAAATTATATTGTTTCACAAAAGTGAGCAACGATAGGTGTTCAAGTCGTCAAACTATATTGTTTGGCAAAAGTGCAAAACACTAGGTGTTTGGTCTCTAACAATGCAAAGAGCATGCTTGACATTCATTACACTTTTAGAAAAGGTTATTATTTTGAACACATGTTCCAAGAATACCACAGAGATGCCTCTCAGCTTCTACTTCTTCATCAGTAGCTGAGAATTGACCCAATAAAACACTACCAAGCATTTACCAGATTGTTTCTATCCATTGCAACAGTTGAGAACCTGTCACCAGGAACATTGCCAAACACTCTCAAAGTTTGTTTACATCACACAATTGTGGTGAGTCTTCCACGGAAGTGTGGACCCTCTTCACTATAAAAGGATGCTTTTGTGTATCAGCGCCCCTTTTTATTGTACTCCGTACAAAACATGAAAATATTTAACGTTCATTCATTATCGTGATGTTGATTATATTGACTTACTTTCAAAATTAATACATGTGCAATGAAACTTAGCTTGATTTATTGTGCATATAGCCTTATTATTTATTAACAATGCATGTGATTTTCTAATGCCAAATTAAGATTTTCAAAACTTAAATTAATTAGATCTTATGCACTAAACTAAAAAGCTTCAACACATTGAATTCTGAACTGTAATATTCCCTCTGCCGCACTATTTCTGTCCCATTTTACCTTTTTTGTCTGTCATACTATTTTTATCTCGTGCCATATTGGCATATTTGGTCATCTGGTTCACATTCATTCTTATTTTATCTTAGTTTTGAACATCAATACCAACCACATAATCTTACTTAACTTCTGTGTCACTCTCTCACCTCCCAAAAAAATGAGATTGGGGGAATAACTGATTTTAACATCTCTAAAGTTGGCTATTATTATTATTATTATTCCAAAAATCTTATACACAGCGTTGATGGAAACCCTAGAAATTCTAAAGAGTAGAGTAAATACAATTCTACATATTTTATCATCATTATCATCACCTTAATCCTAACCAATTGGAGTATGTGGCATTAACTCTGTAGCGCTAAATAGTTGTATAAAATTAAGGAGCACGCACGCACGCGGGCGCGCGCGCGCGCACACACACACACACACACACACACACACACACACACACACATATAGTATCTTTCAAGGGGTGGAGGTAAGGTCTGTTTAAATCTTTCCCGTGGAACCTACTTCAAAGTGATAATTGCTATGTTAGTATGCTTGTTTGGTTGGGGTGCTTTGGTCCACATCGATTCTATGGTTGATTCTTAGTGTACAAGAAGACACCAACTTATCACAATATAGAGGAGCAAAATACAAAAAAACAAAAAAAAACACATGCACCTTAAGTTGCTTTTGGGCCTCAATTTCGCTCTTGCCGGACTTGACAAGTGTCCAAAAACATGTGTTGTACTGATTGTTAATGTGACCTGCATGTCCAAAAATGGAAAAGAAGGGCATCATGCCTTAAACACATTGTTTAACTAGATCAAAGGAATCACATAGCATAATGGTGGTTAATGTGATCTGATCTATTAGCTTGGAAGTTAAAAATGAAATAAGTACTTACAGTCAACTTGCCTCCAAGCCAAATAATCTTGAAGGATTTTAGAGGACGGGTAGCAAACAGCACGCCCATCAAAGTATGGTGGGTATCTTAAATCTTTTTGGGGAAAAATATCCTTCCACCGCATGATGTATACGGAAGAGAAGAGAGAGACAATGGCAGAGACTATTTCACTGCAGAAATGGTTACAGGTAGCCAGTAAATAGTCAAAAAAAGATTTGGCATCAGCCCACAAAAATTTACTATCAACCAATATACCATTAGAACCCTTGCATAAGAAAGCCAGGTTTGTTAATGATTTCTTTTTCCAATTACACACAAGCAGAGAAATTTAGGACTAAATGAATGATACTGAAGGTCTACCTAGCACGCCTTTCATAGAGAATGGAGTCTTTCTTCAAAACAAAGCTGAAAACAATGAATTAAATCCATAATAAAGTGTAAAATACAGAAAAAATTTGAACATAAGATCATAAAGAAAGTATTACCTGTACTCGTCGCTAACCCCGTACGAAAAGACTATATCTTTAAATTCCTCCACCAATGCAACCGCACAAGAGTTCATTAGTTTCAAAGCTTGCTCATCATTTGGTTTGTCAAATTCATGATCATCACAAAACCTATCACATTATTTATAAAAAGTTTATTGCTAAATGTATTTTACAATTTGTACAGAATAAAAATGCTTAAAAGAGTAAAAGACAACTAGACAAGTAACAAACTATACACATTAGAAAAACATTAGCATCTTAAAGAAGAAACACAAAAGATTGTAGGGTAGAGTAACAAACCAATTAATAGTTCAATACAAATCATAGTTGAGGAAAGTTGCTAAAACAATAATCCCAGTCACTAAATAACTAACCACTTTACACGTAATTTGAATTGGTCAGTTCCACAATGTTTGAGATTTAGTTGCATCAATGGCAAGTTTGACACTCCCTCCATCCCCCTTTTATCTTCCCATTTACTCTTTTGGACGTTTGGACGTTCCTAATTCATCTTCCCAATTGCATTAAAAGAATCAAACTAGTAATCTATAAGGTGCAGTTGCCAGAGGATTCAAGAGTCCATCTGGTGTTTCATGTATCTCTTTTGTGAAGAAAAATGGGTCAGCAAGCAGTAGTGCAAGCTTACCTACCTCCTTGCAATGATGGGGGAGTTGAATGAAGGATTCAAGGCCTTCCCAGCTGATACACTACAGGTCGGTTGCAGGCCCTGCCAATACTAAGACGTTTGAAGCACTAATTAAGTTGGTCAATTTGCTTCAGGAAGAAGAATTCTATAGAGCTTATTGAAGATGAATTCTCCAGATTTGAGGCTAGAGGACAAGGCATTTCCTCAAGGGAAGAGGATGATGGGTTATGGGTTTACCAAAGGCATAGGCCCAAACCAATGTACTAGAAATTCATATTTGGTATGGAGTAAATGATTGTTGTACTATACCCTGTCATAGTCTCTTTACTAGGTATGATTGTTTGTCGTAGTCCTATTTAGTATTACATGGACTAGCTACTTGAGGATTGTTTATCTTAGTCCTAATTTCTTTTACTCTTTTAGGAATATCAGAGTAGCTTGAGCCTATAAAGAAGGTGTAAAAGTGTTACCTCTTATTCTTTGGGGAATATAGAATTCCATCTTTCACCATAATTGCAACCTAGCTTAATTGCTAAACCTATCTGATATATCTGGGCTCAACCTTATCATGTTTTCCCCTATACCCTACACTCCCGAGGGAAGCCGAGGACCTATGTTTAAGCTATATGATCCATTTTGAAGGCCCTTAAACCCATGATCCTCCTCAATCCCTACAATCTAGAAACAACACCAAACTTTAACAATTCTCCCCCTTGTCCTTTTCATCTGGGCTGAACCCATCTTCCCCAAAACCCTACCTCATTCACCCCTCAAGACCATGTTAAAACACACCCAACTAAACCCCCCTTTCATAACCCTTAAGTTGGTTGAAAACAAGAAGCCAAAACCAACCCATTTACCCCTTAAAACATCCACCCAACAAGGCCCCCACTATGTCCCCTAAACCAGCCACAAAACATCCATTACTTAACAAAACACACATGGCACAACTTTAACAATTTAACCACCAAATAAACCACCACACCACATGCCAAAACAACACATGCCAATCCCTCCCACTTGCCCCATGGCCTGGCGCCCTGGCCGAATACAACCCCCTAAATCAGCCCACCAAAACAACACAAAACAACCAAAAAACCATATTAACTCATGGACCAAATCAACCCCTCTCGGTTTCCCTCCCCTAGCCGAATACAACACACCAAAAACCAACACTCATTCACTCCCCAACATTCCACAAACCATGGCCCCATCTTTGTCCCCTAACCACCTAATTAAACAACATAATAAAACAAAGGACCATTGACCACTTAACCACCCTATATTCTCCCATAATAATCAGCCTATATACACCTTAATATTCCCCCCTGACCGAAAATAATCTCCCCAAATAATCAGCCACAACACACCAAATAACCCAACCATTCTCACTACCCATTGTTCCCCAACCTGGCCAAATGAAGTCACTCCCCAACCAATAAATATTCACATCAATATAGAGCCAAATCCAGTCCCAAATCAGTCACCCTTTGCCCCCTAATATGGCCAAACCAGCCCAGCCTAGAAACACAGCCCACATCCCTTAATATTTCCCCATCAAAAACCACAAACAAATGTCACCCAACACCCCCACAAAATCCCTGATTCATCCCCCATGAAAGGACTCCATATTTGATTATTATAGTCAAAGATTTGTTAAGGAAAGAACTTGGTAGTTTCCCCCTTCTTTGCTTGCTTATTTATATCAGCCATTGGCCATTGTTGTAACTCACTTTTGAATCTGAAATTTCCATTAGTAATACACTTATGTGTTTGCTATTTTAAACCCCTAATTCTATATCTTAAGGGTGGTTACCTTAAGTGTGAGTTTTAGGTTTCTAGTTATTTAAATAAGTGTGTTATATCTTATTTGAATACTAGATTCAACCCCAAGTTAGGAGAAGAGTGTGTAATATCTCTTAACACCAACTTGGTTTATCCAACACTTATTTCTATCCATTTCTAATCCCACCATTTCTCTCCTGATCCTCCTTTCTTTTCTCATATTAAAAACCATTAAAAGAACTCTTTCACCTCCATTTATTTCGCCCCTTGCTTGCCTTCAACATTTTATCACATTTCCTCTCTGAAAAACCACAACTCTGTTAAGACCCCTAGTTCGAGATATATCACTATCACTATTATTGAGGATGAAGGGGAAGCTATATAGCGCAACCTAGCTTAATTGCTAAACCTATCACTGTTATTACAGAGAGAGGGGAGCTATATATCCAAGAGAAAAGCAGACATTAAAGAGAAAAGAATAACATTTACCCATGGAAGTGGCAACCATCAATTCGGACAACAATCCATGTCGAGGGCATCAATTTGCCTTCATATTGGAAAGATTTGATATACTCGGGTTTAATATTTTTAATGCATTCTACAAAAAGACCAACATGTTCAATAAGATACTGGTGATGATTCCAGAAGCTTCCAGCAGAGATATTTTCTGAATGAACAATAATAACTTTCCACCTCTTCCTTTTAACAGGAGTACCATTTTCCTGGTATTTCTCAATACATTCTACCTGAAATTTGAATCGTAAAAAAAAACAATGTATAAGTTGGTCCTGAATATTCTATTACAATTGCAGGCTATTTACGTAATACACTACATGCTATATTCAATTAGGTGGTGGTGGAATCAAATGGTGTTTGTTTGGATACTGGTTCATGATTTACTGATTTACAGGGGAATATCTAAAAAGTACTAAATGGCATTTCCTGGTTTCAAAATGCAGAACAGTTCACCCCAAACTCCCAGTGCGTGCTTTTGATATGATGAAAAAGTTATAGAGAGCAACAAATACAAAAAGCTGAAAGAGTTTGATAATGAGGGAAGCTAACAAAAATCTAATTTCAAGAACACATAAACTCTGATAGTTTGTAATGTGGAAGTAACATGAAATAGAGTCAAATAGTGTGTTACAATTCCCACCTAAACATGAGAAATTTTGTGTTAGGTCATTTAGAATTTTAGATTGTTTAAAGATATAAAGGATGCAATACACGAAGTAGATTCAAGAATTGCACCTCTTTCCGAAGAGCACATGATCCCTGACGAAATATCTCCCTGACATCTTTTTTGTAGTTAATACCAAACTGTTGAAAAAGCAATTCATTTCTCTCCTGCTTCTGACTTCCCTACCAGCATAATAAGGAAAATAATAATCAATATAGTATTGTAGTTGAATCAAAACCAATGTTCTCTTACTTCTCTACATTTACACTCATTTTGAATTTTTAACCAAATAGTACATCATAAAAAATTTTGTCATAGACCTATGAACCTATTCCTGAAGAAAACAACTTGCAAATCAGGTTTTTCAGGTTTGGCTCACAATCAATTGCCCTAGGCAAAGATAACATGCAGCTGTTAAAACTCGGGTCTGAGTCCTCTGACACTTATTTGTCATAGAAGTGAGTAATGTTTTAACACTTATTTTCTTATGTACGAGAGTTATAGAGTATAGTGTCCCCAGTCTACCACCTTAAGAAGTGATGTGGCATCCATTTCAGACTTTCCACACTTTACCAGCTCCCAAAAACAAGTTGCGTACTGATTTTTAATATGACCTGCAACAAAAAAGGACCCAGTAATTTATAAAATAAGCTGCTGGTTTCCCTTTTGCAATGTTTGATAGGAAATGTTCACATGGTGAACTCACACTCATTTTGTCTCCAAGCAAGATATGCTTGAAGAACCTCTATTGATGCACAACAAACCACACGTGATTGAAATGATGGAGGGGCCTTTAACTCCATTTGAGGAAAGAAGTCCTTCCATTTGGTGACAAATACAGATGTGAAGAAAGACACAATAATGGAGTATATTTTGCTGCAAATAAAGACTTATAGTGAGATACTATGAATAATCTAAGCTTATCTAAAAGAGGCGCCAGATATCCTTTCCTCTTTCTCCATATTCTTTATTTCTAGTGTAAAAAAACATGTAGACGTTTATGTAAGGAAAAACCTGGCACGCCTTTTGTAGAAATTGGTCTCTTTCTTAAAGACAAAACTGTAAAATAAAAAGGAAAAAAGATTATCCACAGTGACCTGATCTGCTGAGTAATGAGTACTTGTCAGCTGAAGAAACGTAACACTCAGCACACCATACCTAAACTCGTCACTGAATCCATATGCAAATGAGATGTCTGGGAACTTTTCTAGGAGTGCAGTTGCGCACGCATTCATTAAATGCAACGACCTTGCATCATATGGCTTTTCAAACTCATGAAATTTTGAAAACCTGGTGAAAACTTCATAAAATGATAACTGACGCCCAAACAAAATGTTTATTAAACACATAGCTTTGACATCCTCCGTAAGTGACACTAAAAGAGGAGAGACAATGGTTTGATAAATAGTTAACTAGGTAGTTAAGTTTCATCCCATTCAATACTCTAGCCAACCATTGATATCAACTAAAAATCTACATTGAATTACCACTTTGTTACAGCGAACCATTTTTTATAGGACACCCAACACAGCACACTAGAATGCACAGTAACTAATAACTACGGAGTATATACTTTCTTTGTCTCAAAATTAAATTCTCCCTTCTTTTTTGGAGTCTCCATAATAAAAGAATCTCATTCCTTTAATGAATGCATTGGTTGGTGCATATTATTTCTATCATCTAAATATATGTCAACCACCTAATTCAACCTTTTTCTTATTTCCTTGAAAAATCAAATGAGAGGCAGTGAGTATGTTTGATGCCACATGATGTGTATTAGTTGTTACTGTACTTAAGAATGAATTCATTGATACGGAATATGCAATTATTATGTCACTCATACTACACGGCCATACACACACAGAAAAATAAATAAATAAATAAATAAAGCATTTAAATTTCCAACCAATGCAACATACGAACATTACTTTTGAAAATTGCGGCCATCAATGTGCACAACTATGATGTTGGGTATCATGACTTCATCTTCAACTTCAAATGACTTCACATATTCATACTTGCTATTTGCCATGCCTCCTCTAACACTCACCACGTACCACCTAAGCCGCATGGTAGTGGAATTGAGAAAGTTTTCAAAAGTTTTGACTATATATCTTCAAAACATAGAGTCTTCGAACATACAAAAGAAGGTTTACATATGCTAATTTTATTACCATCATTGCAAATAATACACAATATAATTCCATAACTCATGCAAAAGGTATATAGGACAAGTTGCCAACCTAGTTATTTAATCTATTATCACTAGCCACACTTTATCATATCTTACCATATTTTTCCATACAATCATCATCCGTTGACTAATCATTTATAAATAAGTATTAATGTATTATTTTACCAGTAGAGCATCATTGAATGCAATCACTGGTAAAACGAAGTGATAGAATAGGGGCATGATGTGTAGCCATTAATTTAAAATCATTTCTTATTCAGTATGGTGATTTTTTTTATTAAAGCAACATATAGAAATTACTCTCTTCAGTAAACAGTAACACCAGTTTTTCTTTCAAGCCTCTATCCTCAAGACACAAAAACTAAATGAGTACTGAAAACAGAAAAGTGACCCTAAAATCATTATGCTAGCATACAAGCATACAACACCTGGTTGTTTAGACAAAATGTAGGCAATAAACAAACATGACAAGTGTCATGTTGTTTGGACAAAACAAAGTTGGGAAAGAGGCAAAAAATGATTTTTCAAAAAAGTAACAAGTGGAAATGCATATCAAGACAACATGGCAAGACTGGCATGACTTACATCCATTTAAGTTCAAACAGGCAGACCTCTATCTCAAGTTGAGTCCAAGAGCAAGGCATTATAAAAACTCTTTTAGTAGTTCATAAATACTCAATTATTTTTTAAGAATAGCTTTATTTCCATGATTATTGTTTTTACGACTTTCTTCTTCTCCCGCTCCCTTTTTATTGCTTTGCTTGTGTGTTTCTTAAGCTTGAATTTACACATGGTTGGCATGTATGAACACATGTCCGGTAGAGATGGTACGCTCACTTGGTGGATAGAAAAACATTGCTTGTAATTGTATATGTATGATATATGAAAGATCATTGCCTTTGTTTAATGCATATACTGAAAATTAACCTAATGCGGAGTAATAAATCTAAGCCCTTTAAATCTTGTTGCCTTATGTCCTTTTCGGAATACCTTTGCATCCTAAATTTAAACTCAAATCATTGAAAAACAAGTAATACGTTAACTTTAACTAACATTTTACTAACTAAATTTATTTTTAAAAAAATCCATAGTATGATGATATGGAAATTAACATAAATACAAATGCCAAATTCATAGTTCACAAATCCACGAAACACAAATTTATATATCACACAGGATACATCAAATTGATAATGTTCTAATATAATTACCAAATATAAATTATGGAATGCGAAGTATTAATGATTTTAGGTTGCTAAATACTACGACATATACCTGGTGGCAGTTGATGGAGCCACAGGGAAGATGCGCGAAGGAGGCGCACTAGATGGCAGTCAGCTAAGGTCTGCTGTCTGCAATATTGTTTTTAGGATATATAATACTGAGTAATACAGAGTACAAAATATAAATGGTATTGTATTCAATTTAGGGCCCGTTTGTGAATAGCATTTTCGATTAGCGTTAGCGTTTTAGATAAAATGTTATTGGTGCAGATTAACTTTGAAAATGCTAACGGTAAATGTTGCCCCTTAATATATTTTTTAAAACGCTAACGCTAAAATCTAACGTTATTCCCAAACAGGCCATTAGATTTTAATAGATTGTCTAAAATTCATGTGTTATATGAAATCAATTGTTTTATTCCTTTAGGTTGAATTTTGAAGTCTAGATCGATGAAGAAGAAACTAAAAGCTCTCTGTACAGTAACAGCAATGGCGAGAGGTTCTAGAGTCAAGTCAACTAAGGCTTGGTAAAACCGAGATCGATCAAATTGTGTCAATTGAAATATTAAAATCAAACACAAAAAACCGAACCAAATCATTTCTATTCTGTTTTGTTTTTTTGTTTTAGTGTTTGAAAATCAAACCAAATTGAAACGTTAAAAATTGAACCCTACTAACGATATGTTTATTTTTTTTCTTTTTCATTTCTTTTTTTAGAAAGTATTCTTTTTTAATAGATTATTTCTTGTTTGAAAATTTTCTAATTTCTATTTTTATTCTCTGATTAGATATTGATGTGATGATGATGAAATAAAAGTCTTATTATTTATATTTCTATGATACTCTTTAATTTGAGCTTCATTTTTTCATTTTGTTTTCACATCTAATAGACTAATACAAGTCTTAGTAAGAGTTACATGTTGTCAAATTATGCTTCTTTCCTACTCCGTATGTTTTTTGACAATTTGTTTGGTTAGAACTATAACATTATGGCCCTTACTTCACAATTTTTTCTTGATCGCTCACAACCATAATTGCCAGTCAGCAAACTTTAAGTTGCACTAGGACGCGTGCGGGTACATATACGGGGACGAATTCGGGATACGGCATTTTTTAAAAATTTCAGGATGCAGAAACAGCAAGGATTCGGCAACAAAATTTTAATTAAAATATTAAATATAGACATGTAAATGTTAGAGTAAAACATCCAATGACGTACTCTAGCCACTAAGAGCATCTCCAACGGAAGAAGTTTAATTCAACTACTATAATGCTTTTTAGCTTTTGAACAGTAATTTAAATGTCCAGTTGTCCACTTGCTCCAACCGTGTCCTTTTTAGATCTACACAGCATTTTCTCTTTTCATCCACAAACTCCAACCATACCTCCCCAAACTCCCTTTTCTCCTCTAATTATAATAAGGAATAGTTTTTTTATTAAATGGAGTGTATACAGTTGCTTTCATTAATAGAAGCTCTAACTCCAATTATAAAGAATATACCAGATGATCTAAAAAAAACCTGATTAGGCGAATAGCAGCGACACAGATTGGCACTAAAAGAAAAGAATCAAAAGACTGAGTCGCAGGTCCCTCCTCAAGTCGCCGGCCTTAAGCTCTGCAGCATGCCAAATTACCTGTGAAGCGAGTTTTGTTTAAACAACTAGCAGGTCCTTTGGCTTGCATTTTTAGAAAGATATTAGGATCCCTCACATTTTATTGTAAAGACTAAGAAGGAATATTCTGTCTATTATGTTATTAATGACCCTAAAAATGTGTTTTTCTTATTTTTCCCTTAAAGTTTTATGTTAATAAAGTTCAGGGACTTTACTTTTTAATAACCTTTTTATTTATTTTTCTTTTCCAAAAAGTCTTTTTCAATTCCTTGTGCAAGTTTTTTTTTTCAAAAATTGAAAATTGTTTGTCTAATATACAAAAATAAATGTAATTAAAACGACTACAAGGAAAAAATAAGAAAACTACATTTTTTAGTAGTCATTAATGGAATAATGGATAGAATATAAAATGTAAGGACCCCAGGTGTCTTTTTGAAAATGCAGGGACCTGCAAGTTTATTCCGCAAGTAATTTTTTTGTTGCAGGTCCCTCATCAAGTATATAACTTGTACGGAGTATTAAATAACTTTCCTAATCTTAATCGGTCAAACTTAAATAAATAAATAAACGGGTGAAGCTTTTCCAGATCTGTACAAAATACAGCTTGCAGATTTCCAGATCCGTCCCCTTGGAAGTCGCCGGCGAATCCGTTGCATTAGAGGCAGTTCTGGTTCGCCAATTGCCGTCCCTGCCAGTGAATGAACCTATTTGTCACTAAAAACCTACTAGGTTAGTGATAGTTTTGTTTTCTTTATATTTATATATTTTGATATTCCATGAGCTTCTTTGGACAACCATTGTTGTCATATTATAACAACAATGACCTACAGTAGACCCCCATGCCCCCCACCTCAGCAACCCCCCTACCCCCACCCCCACCCCAAAATGTCAATTAGCTACAATAACACTATAGCTAATCAGCATTTTGGGGTGTGGGAGAGGGGCACAGGGCTCCTGCGTGGGGGGCAAAGATGGGAGCAGGGGGTTGAGGGAGTATGAACCATCATTCTTTTCAAACAGAGCACTGTAAGTCTTGTTGTCATAATATGACACTCTTTCTTGTTGTCAAAACCCTGGGTCGATTAATGTTACTTCTCATTTTTATTCATGCCATTAAAAAGTATGGAATGTTGCATCTTATAAACTCTCTATTACTTTACTTTTAAAATTTAAATTTTCTAAAACTACAAAAAATAATAGAGATTTTACAAGATGCAACATTACAAACAATTTTCAATTTTTGAAAAAAAAAACTTGCATAAGGAATTGAAAAAGACTTTTTGGAAGAGAAAAATAAAGAAAAAGGTTATTAAAAAGTAAAGTCCCTGAACTTTATTGAAACCCCCAATCAGTTCAACACAAAATCAACCAAGAATTCCACAGTCGAACGCAAGAATTATACAAACAAGATCCTAATCTACGAACTAACGCTAACGGAAGATATTTGGGCAACGAATCACCTCAATTACGAAGAAACTTGGAATAAGAGAGAGAGAACTGCCGCTGCCCTCGTCGCGGCTCGCGCGCACGCCGGAGGAAAGAGAGATAAATGGCCGCCGGCGCTGGTTACCCTGGGACGGAGCTCGCCGGCCGGTGCTGCAGTGGAGCCGCTGGACGACGACGACGAACCGAGCAGGGAAATCGACGGAATTCTTCGCAGGGGGGAACGGACGAAAATCTAAATGGTGCGTTTCAGGGAACCCTTTACCTATTTACGGAGTAATATTGAGTACGTAGTACTACCTCCTTACTCGGGTTTACTCGGGTGACTTTGATTTTTACTAGTCAAACTTACAACTTTTAAATTTTAATTAATCTTAATTTATATGGTAAATTAGTACTCATATAATGAAATACTACTTCTGTCCCGCTATATTCATCTACTTTTAATTTTTGGAATTGTTCATTTAAGCACTTTGACTCATCAGATTCTCTCAATGTGTAAGCCTAAACATAATCATGTGTGATCTTGTTTGATTTGTCTTAACATATACGTAGTAGATTATTAATATATAATTTCTCTAATTTTTTAATATACAAATTACAAAATAAAATAGATTAAAGAACATTGAGCCTTACAATGTAGGTCTACTCTCATATTAAATACACAAATTTGAAAATAAACTTTTATATTGACCGATTTAATAATTAATTAATTATATAAATTAATAAAAAAAACTAAGTCGGGTTTCAAGGCGTTATGTACAACTTGTATGTTATAGCCCTTAAAATAGTTGGAACTTGTGTTCTGAATTTTCACTCTTCTCAATTTCTTTCAACACTTACAAAAAGTATTACCTTTTACAGTTTCTCGCAATTTTTTCCATTTTTCAAAATTTTCTAATTTATTTTAAGTTTTTTACAACTATTTCTAAGAGTAGCATAAAAATTATTTACTTCCATTTTTATGCTATTTTTCATTTAAACTATTATTATGATGATTATTAAAATAAATGTATAAAAGAATTGAAGCTTTGTATAACTTGTAACTTGTAAGTGCACATATGAAATGTACTGCAATAACACTGTATATCCAAATTCATAATATAGATAGTGAGTTTATACCATCAATATCACATGTAGTTTGTTAAATGTGCGTTGTTACCTTTCATTGTTTCAAAATTTACAACGTTGCCCTTGTACTTTTAATATTCTACGCAAATGTATGTCTAAACTAAATAACCTTCAAATATTAAATAAATAACATTGATGCCTCCTATGGTTTTAGAAATAGGCACCAACACTCCATCTCAATTTTTTCTTTATTATTTTTCTATTTTCTTCTATTTTTTTCATCATCAATATTTTTGAAGATGTTTTTTTCAAACCTTTCTCATAAATGTTTTATGTTTCTTTTTTGAAACAATTTTTATACTATGTAATGATTTAATGATAAAAAAAATTTTGGGGTTTGAAATAAAAAAAATAATTAAATTAAAAATAATAAACATACACTTCATTTTTTTTAAATGAAATAATTTTATTTTGTCAAAAAGAGATTCTTATTAGTTAATTTCATGATATAAAAATCAATAAAAAAAATTCACTTTATTTAAGCTAAAGCGTATTTCACATAATCTAGTTTTTAATCATTTTTTTCTTCGTGATTTTGAAGTTTATTAATTCATGAAGTTTTTTTAAAATCAAAATAAAAATAAAATTAAAAATAATAGAAAAGAAATTGAAGAAGAAGAAAAGTATATGAAAAATATTTTTGTAGAATAAGAAAATAAAGTTATGAAGGAACATTTGTTATGCATCGATTCAAAAAGAATATTATGAATATATAATTATATAAATATTAAAAAGACTTTGCTTTGTATTCTGTTGGTCCCAACATATTTAAAAAATAAGAACATTTTTTAGAAAAAGTGAAAATATTTAATTTGAGACAAATGAAGTATATTTTATATTTTTTATTTCAAACACCAGCAATTTTAATTTTTTAAAACATTTTTAAAAGCATAGTTTTGAAAAATAATATTTTTCATTATTTCAAACAAAATCATTTTCTTCTATTTGAGAAAAAAGAAAAAAAGATAATAAAGAAAAAAAAGAGTGAGGGTGTTGATACACATTTCCAAAATCATAGAGGGCAACGAAGCTATTCATCTAAAGTTTGAAGAGTATTTTAGTTAAGAGGAGCATCGACGTAAAAATTTTAAAATCGCATCGGACAATGACGTAAGTTTTAAAACAATAAAAATAATGATACACATTTACTAAACCATAGGGCGTATTGGTACAATAAAATCTACGGAAACTATCAAACACTCACAAATATTATTTTTTATATGAACTTCGAATGAGTTGAAACAAAAAAGAAAGGAATTAATAGAAAATGGGAAATTTAGAGTGTAAACTATTTTAATAAAAAAACATGGAATTTAAAGGAGCCCGGTTTCTTGGCATTGGATTCCAGTGGCCACGAAAGTCACTGTCCCCTACGGAGCTCCGTTCATAAAATTGGTGATTCCTATCCCCCGGTAACCCCCCCCCACCCCCGCCTAGTTCTGACCAAACTAATCACCCATCTTCATCAATTGCACATCGTAAGTATAATTGACTTTAAAGTCAAAAGTTTTGACTTTATACTAACGAGGTGCAATTGATGTAGGTGGGGGTGATTAGTTTGGGTCGGGACTTGGCGGGGGGGAGGGGAGTTACCGGGGGGTTAGGGGGTAGGCTCAATTTTATAAACGGAGCTTCGTAGGGGGCAGTGACTTTCGTGGACACTGGAATCCAGTGGCCATGGAACCGGGCTCAATTTAAAGAATATAAAAAGTCATATTTATTTCAATTCCAATTATGTTAAATGAAATCAACCCCCTAATTATCCATATTAACCTTTTGAGGTTATAAATATAAAAATTATTTGGGAGCAAAAGAGTAATTATTTATACTTGAGAATAATATCGTAAAATTAAGAATTTCTAGGAGTATTTATGTGATTGTTTATTTACAAAAATCTAATCATAATTATAAATTTAATATTTGTGGGTGAAATTTAAGGAAATAAGGGGTGACTTTGAGTAGAACGGAGATGAAGATTTACCAATATCGTAGAAACTATTAATTTTTTGAAGTATCGAAAAAGTTCCAATTAGACAGGCGACATGTTATGGCACCTAAAATGAGTGTCAATATAAACTTTAATAATACATATTATACATTAATACAATCACGTGTTGTGCCATACCTACCAAATACGTAGTACTCTCTAACACGATTACATGAGTATGCTATGCTAATATCATTAGATTTTAAATGAAAAAATTTAGCTTAAAATTACTTATAATTTAAATAAATTTGTAGTCGTAATTTAGTTGGTTAATAGAAAATTATGTTGAGTAATTCTAACTCTTGACGACAATGATAATAAAAGATGATGTATGACAACTGTGTTTTAGGTAGGCCAGTATTCGAGGCTCTTAAGTTATGAGTCTTAGGACTGAACATTTTACCAAACAGACAGGAAAATCTTAAATCAAGAATCGAAGTAACTAAAATTTCACTTTTGGTTTCAATTATGTCGCGCAATTGGTCAAGTTTCGATTACAAGCTTTTAAAAATCGAATTCATTGAAAAACGAAACCTAGCCCTAGGGATGGCAACGGGTCGGGTTCGAGTCGGATAGTACTATACCTGAACCCGACCCGACTTTAAAAACCAAAACTCGAACCCGACCCGAAACCCGACTTTTTAAGCCAAAACCCGAACCCGACCCAAACCCGACATTCCAACCAGAAACCCGAACCCGACCCGAACTCGACTTTTAACTAATTATCAATTCGGCGTACCCCAATAATTTTAAAAAGATTACATCTAATTTTTTTTGTGTCTCATTTTTTTATTAAGAAATTATAAAAAATGATTATAAAAGGCATATTTGATATAGTAGCACTTTGTCAAGAGATTATATGGAGTGCTCATTATATACATAGATAGGCTTTTATGTTATAAAATATTCGGGTTTGAGTCGGGTCGGGTGCGGGTTCGGGTCGTTCGGGTAAAATAATAAACCCACACCCGACCCGACCCAATGTCGGGTTCGGGTAAAAAATTTCGGGTCGGGTTCGGATTATTTTATACTCGGTTTGGGTTCGGATATTTTAGTGGTCGGTCGGGTCGGTTAAGCTCGGGTTCGGGTTGAATTGTCATCCCTACCTAGCCCATATACGTTTTAGTCTATGTTTACTTGACTTATCTGATTTAGGGGCTGAATGTTTTAGCCTCTTAATGATTTAGATGTCTGAATGGTTCAGCACTTAATGGTTCAGACTGTTTGTTTCAGCCTCTTAATGGTTCAGATGTCTGAATGGTTAAGAGATTTGCCTCTGAATGGTTAAGTATTATACAGAGTCTGAAGGGTTAAGACCTCTTATCTGAACTTTATCTGAACTGATCAGACATTTGCCTCTGAATAGTTAAGCAATATACTAGCTCTTAATGGTTCAGACCTCTTACTGGTTCAGCACTTAATGGTTCAGACCTCTTACTGGTTCAGCACTTAATGGTTTAGAAGTTGCCAAACAGCATCTTACTCTCAATAAAAATGAATAATAAGTAAAAAAATAAATTGTGTAGAAAACATTATTTTGTTGTATAAATCAGCAAAAAATTGCTGCTGGGTACCCCTTATTTTGGGATAAAGACTGGCAGGTCCCATTGTTTTTCAAAATATACTCCGAGGTACCTTAAGATATTCGAAAACTGACTCCGGGGTGAAATTCCGTCATTCCCTCCGTTAATATTTCTTCTCCGTTATCCTCCTCCTCCTCCTCCCAAAATATTGCTGCCAGGTACCCCTTATTTTGGGATAAAGACTGGCAGGTTCCATTTTTTTAAAAAACTTACTCATAGGGATTTAAAATATCCTTTGTTCAAAATATCACTTTATCGAATTAATATATAATATATGTTTTATTTAATAATAGGTCAAAAATTAAAAATAGTTGATTGAAAAAAGTCAAAACGTGACATATGCTCCGAGACAGAGATAATATTATGTACTCCGTATTTCCTATTATTTCCTTAATTATTATTAGAAATTAATTGCAGAGTGGTAGTTTTTTTACTTTATTTTTAAGAAATATGGAGTAACAATCATTATTATTTAGAAAAATAGTACTCCGCATTAGTCAATTTGATAGTCGCCATTGGTAATGGTGTCTTGGTAAATTGAGATAACAAGAGGACTTGAGAAAAGAATAAGATGAAACAATAAAAATAGTGTTAAATTTAATATGTCTTGTAAAGATAATATGAAACAATAAAAATAGTGTTAAATTTAATATTATTATGAATTATGATGTATAATTTATAACCAAGTGAATAAATAATTTTAATTTTATAAATGATACGTAAATATATTACAAAAATTAATTTTCAATTAAAGATTTAGAGTAGTAAAACTAATAAAAAAAGTTAATACCCTCATGTATTTACAACAATTATCGTCTAGCTCTATATTTTGAATGATTGCAAAAAAAATTTCAAAAAATCTTTTTTAAGGAGGGTAAAATTTGAAGTCAAAGCCAAAAATTAAAAAATGGGGAAAAGTTAAACTGGGAAGAAAGAATTAGGACGGAGGGAGTACATAATATTATCTCTGTCTCGGAACATATGTCACGTTTTGACTTTTTTCAATCAACTATTTTTAATTTTTGATCTATTATTAAATAAAACATATATTGTATATTAATTCGATAAAGTAATAATTTGAACAAAGGATATTTTAAATCCCTATGAGTAAGTTTTTTAAAAAATGGGACCTGGCAGTCTTTATCCCAAAATAAGGGGTACCTGGTAGCAATTTTTTGGGAGGAGGAAAAGGAGGAGGATAACGGAGAAGAAATATTAACGGAGGGAATGACGGATTGTCACCCCGGAGTCAGATTTCAAATATCTTAAGGTACCTCAGAGTATATTTCGAAAAACAATGGGACCGCCAGTCTTTATCTCAAAATAAAGTACCCATCAGCCATTTCTTGATAAATCAGCCCAAAACATAAACACGCTGGCTCCCCTTCAAAGCCTGAGAACAGCCAAAACGGTTTCAAACTTTTTTAGGTCGGGGAGTGAGTTTTGGCCGGCCATCGCCGGCAGTTTTCAAGACGGCGATGGCACCTCTAAAATCTCTGGAGCTGCGCTACCCTTTCGTCGACTCTAATTTTCGGGGTTTCTGTTCTGTCCATGGCATTTTCTCAGGTTCCTAAGCTCTCCCTCCATTTCTTCTTCCACGCATTTGTTTCACTTCTACTCCTTTCTTGTCTCCCTATACGTAAAAACGCATGACCTAACTTGAATGATGCTCAAATAGTTCGTATTTGAATGTTTAAATAGTTAGGATTAATTCATCTTGTGTGTTTAGTTGAAGATTTTCTTCTACATGACACACACAGTTTGGAGGTTTCAGCAGAACAGCACCATACTTCGGCAAGATTGAAGCAGGTTTGCCTTAATTTTCGACCAAGCTGATGTCTGATTTGAATACCTTTTGTGTTAATTTTTTGTTTGGCCCTGAACATATAGGGCATTGCCCAGGTTCTCGCAAGCATTGACAGACTTCACCAGCCATGGTTAAATGGTATGGAAATGTTGAAAAATGGGTTGCAGCATGAACACTCTCTCTCAACCGGATCCAAATGGTATCTTTAACCTTCTGCAGTTTCATTGCATTTCAAATAACTCTAAATGCCCATATGGTTATCTCCATCAGCATTGATGCTTTTCTAAAAGGTGGATTGAGAAGGGGGCAACTTACCGAGCTGGTTGGACCATCATCGTCTGGTAAAACACAAGTGAGATTAAGACTAAGTCGCAGGACCAGCGTTTTTCAACATATTTTTCTACTGACATAGTATATTTCCAGTTTCATTGATCATATATAAGTACGCTGTAATTACTTGTTGATTTGATGATATGTTGTGGTCTAGCTATGCCTTTTGATTGCCTCAAGTGTTGCAAAAAGTTCGGGCAAAGTTATATTTGTGGACACTGGCAATTCTTTTTCTCCCAAACGTGTTGCAGAGTTTGTCAATCAGACACCGGACCAGTCTGCCAATAAGGTGAAATATGTTGCTCGTTTCCATCTCTTTAGTGTACTCAATTACATGTTATGATGCTACAATCCCTTATTATGTAGTTTATTTTTAATAGTTACCTATAGTGGACTAAAATAAAAATGCCACTGTTGTAAACCACTAGTCTTTTATTGGGACAGACTGAGTACATGTCATGATGTTACTGACTCTTATTATGCAGGTGAAAAGAACACTTGAACATGCAATGAGTAATATAGTGTGTTACTCAGTGTTTGATGTTTTTACAATGTTCGATGTGCTCCATCAGCTGAGGAACACCCTGAGAACTCAGGTTTTAAATTTCATTACCATCCTTTGCCTATTCATTTTTATCTGTCTGTGTAAATCAGCTGGATTTCTCATTATTTGCCTGTTCATATTTATCCTTGTTTGTATATGAACTGTATTCGGCATGCAGACAAGCTGCAAGGTGAGGATGCTAGTTATTGACTCAATATCATCTCTTATCACACCGGTTCTTGGAGGGAGTGGTGCACATGGTATGCCTAACTAATCTTTTATGTTTTGTTACTATATAGGATACACTTTTACTATACAATCTGAACCTAATTAGTGCTCGTGCATGTTTGGCTCTAATTTAAAAGGGCATTTTCATTATTTCATCTGTCTTAGTTGTTCCAGCTATTCCTCTTTGTTCCTAACAAAGTTTTTAAAAGATTTTGTTATGCTTTTCAGTGTTGTTCTGCCTATTCCAAACAAAGTTTTTAAAAGATTTTGTTATGCTTTTCAATGTTCAAGGAACCACTTGTATTTAAACTAAAATGTATCACTAACTAACTAAACGTGTTTGTCTGTTTAAAGATTTTCTCTTCTCATTGTTTGATTAAAAAATTAGCAAATTGATTTGGGGGGGGGGGGCAAATATCTTTCTCCTATCTTTAAACAGAGAAGAAAAACAGATAAGGGCTGCAGAGCTCCCTTGCCTATATCTCCTCCCTTTGAAGCAAACAGCCCCTAAAGGTCATATTTGATGTAAAAACAGGACATGGTTTGATGGTCTCGGCAGGATTCCTGCTGAAGCATCTAGCAGATGAACATGAGCTTGCTGTTTTGGTTAGTAAGAAGAAATATCTCCCATTCGCCTTCTATTCATGTACAAATATTCAATAATTTAGTACTAAATCCCCCCACCCTTGAGATATCGTTGATCCTGATTTAATAGGTAACTAACCATATGGTAGCGGGCAAGGGGGGCATTATGAAACCTGCACTTGGTGAGAGTTGGAAGGGAATTCCACACACCAGATTGCTGCTTTCTCGTGACTCTACAAGACAACACATTTCCACCATTTCTGTAATGAAACATCCGAATATGGTATTTTTCTGGATCCGCCAATATAGCCTGAAGAATATATGAGCAATATCATTTATTAATTAATCATGGTTGGTCATCATTATGGGGTTTTCAGGCTGATGGAGATCGGGTGGAGTTTCAAACTCCGTGACGGGTTCTTGCCAATTTAGTGTACCAAATACCAACACCAAGTTTCATACTTTCACGATAGACTGCAGAAGACAAATACAACAGTAGGTGTGTATAAAACATTTGTGCAATTGTACCAAGTGGCATGCGACGTTCATCTATGTGTACACACGATATAGGCTCAGGTTGAAAAAGGAGAGTTGCAGACATGCAAAGCTAATCTAATGTTTCTAACTTTTCATTCCCTCCAGTCATTGTAGACTTCTTACAAAAGTTATCCTTAATTACATTAACAACAACCTCTCGTCTCTTTATAATTGGCTTCCAGTTTTACAATGTGAAAACTGGTCTTTTTCATTTGCTAATTGTTGTTATTTTCCTCGTCGAATTGGCTCAACCATTTCTTACTAGGTCATTCACCATGTTTTCATCAATGCTGAGATCTCTTTTTATTAATTGGATTATTTTTTGGTAATTTTAGTTGGCGTGACATTGATATTCAATAGAAATAGAAAATGGATGAGCGACATCGATGTGGGTTTCATTTAGCAACAACGTTAGAGGTTAACGTTTTTGAAACGCTAGACTTTAGAGTTAGTTTCAATGTCAATTTATGATAATGAATTTTTATTCTAAACGCTAACGCTAATAAATAAAAATTTGTTCATTTTTTTCTCATTATTAACGTTAGTCATTTAAAGAAGGAAAATGTACTAAGATGAGAAAAAACCAAAGTTCTTTCATTTTAGAGAGAAAATTGAGGAAAATTCATCAGTCATTTAAAGAAGGAAAATGTACTAAGATGAGAAAAAACCAAAGTTCTTTCATTTTAGAGAGAAAATTGAGGAAAATAAAATTTCCTTTTTTTTTTCCTTCCAAATTTCTTGAACCAAAATTTAAGTGATATTTTTAACCAATAATTTTTTTCTCTCTAGAGAAATATTATTTCCCTTTGAGGCACACCCCTCTTATTTTCCCCTACCTCTCTAATCATTCATCTTTGCCATCTGGACCATTCTTCTCCTGTATTCCCCCCATTAGAGATGTTTTTAGCACATCACTACTCATTCTCTTTTATTAATTTCATATCATTTACCCCAATATTATTTCGAGTATCAAGATCACTTTATTCCCCAATTTTTCCCTCGCCGTTCACTAATTACTCTTCCTAATTTTATATTATTTTTTATACATGCTATCTCTCCATTTGTGTAAAGAATTAACAATATAATTGGCCAAGCATTTTTTCTCTCTCTAAATGAATAACATTCCGACCTCCTCATCCCTCCATTTTATATTCTCGTCTCTTTTCTAATCATTATTTCTCTTCTAATAAAAAGTATTTATTTGTTATATAAAATAAAAAATAATAATAATGTGGAATTAATGAAAATAGATAGATGCAAGAAAAATGAATAGGGGATGTTTGAGGCACACCAAAAGTATACCCCAATTTGTTTGTTTTGCCTAACTAGTTTCATTTCATATTGTGGCATCAAGTACTCATTGAGACACTTTTATGAATTATGACGGTTTTATATATTTTCTGTGACATTTTGTTATTATTGCTGTTCTTGTTATTTTGTTTATGTGACAGCTTAAATGATAGAAAACTACATAACTATGAAGGGATAGAAGATTGTTGGCCATTGTATTTAGAAGTATGAAGTTCGGGTAGCAAGTTATAGTAGATAGCAATTTGTTGTATCGTTATAATGTTAATATATCCAAGAAATTAAATTAGTTGATATTTCTTTGAAAATAAAATACTGAATGTTTGTCATAAAGAGTTAAAAATAATTATCATAAATATTGGTATTGGTGATTTGTTCTGATTTGATCTGATCTGATTTGATTTGATCTAATCTGATCTGGTGTGATCTGATTTTAATAAGAATACGAAAAAATAGGAAAAAATAAATTGAACGGAACAAGGTCTTAGGGACGGAAAATTTGTATGGTAATAAGGTACTTTTTACCGACGTTCATTATCTGTCAATGTTAATCATTTTTAGCGACATTTTATTATATTTATTTTTATTGACATAGTTTTTTGGGACTGATAAATATATGTCTGTAAAAGTCAGCAACGACAGAATTTGCCAAAGTAAAAGAACTTGAAACATAATGCCTAAATTGAGAGAATGTACCCACCAAGTATAATACGGAGTATCATACTCCCTCCGTCCTTAATTTGATTACAAGTTGTGGGTTACGGAGTAAAATTCATACTTTTTGAAATTATTTTATTTACAAATTGGGTATATCAATAAGATATAAAAATTACATATTAAAAAACTACGTCAAAAGTTCTACAAAACAAGAGGTGACAAGAATATTTTATTTTATTAAATACTTAATGAAATTGCGTAAACAAACAAAAGTTATCGAGAAGAGAGAAAAAAAATTGTAATCTATTTAGGGACGGAGGGAGTAAGATTTAAGAATGCTGGAGTATATTTTGAATAATGTAAGACATGATAGATTTATCATAAAATCGAGGGTATCCTAGAGTATACTACGTATATTTTAGATAATGTGAGACATGTGAGTTATTACTAGAAAATCGAGGATACCCCCGAAGCAATTTTTGATTAGTTTTGTCTCTAAATACAACAAGGGATATATTTTTGACCACAAATTTTTAATCCATTTTCCTTCTTTTTTATTTACACTTAAAAAGTGTGCCTTATGAGTAGACCTGGCAACCAGGCCAATCAGTTAAGTCCTGATTCGGATATTTTTTATTTGAATCTCTTTAGGGTAGTATATGTAATGATCAGTTCAGGAGGGTTCGATTCGGTTTAGTTCAATTTCGAGTTTAACTTGGTTTAATTTTATTTTTGGTTTCGGTTAAGTTTTGATTTGATTGGATATTGGTTTGGGTTTATACTGGTTTCATTGGTTGTGAACTAGATATTATCGGGTCAAATCAATTTTGTGACTATTCGGTACCATTTGGGGTGTGACTTAGGTGGGAGTGGACTATTTATTGTTTAGTGTAGATGTGGGGTACGGCGTTCGCCTCAAAAAACAAACCCGGTACCTGCTGCCTCATTCTTTCTCCCTCAGTCGGATTTCTGTTCTTCATCCACGATCAATCGCCTGCTCTCCAATTCTTGATACAACATCCAAGTCGGTAGTCACACTATGGCAAAAACCCTCCTCTCCTCTCCCCTCTTCTCACTTCTTACATTCCTGTTACCCCGTGGTCTATATAAGGAGGTGAAGGTGTCCCCAACCGATCCATTCTCCCCAACCGATCCGTTCTCCCCAACCTAAACCCTACCGATCATTCTCCAGCAATGGATTTCAATCACGGATTTCCAGGGAATCATCAACGGTGGAATCAAGGTCCTCGCGGCGGCGGCGGAGAGGGAGATCGAGAGGAGGTTTACCGCCGCCAACTAGATCGCGGCGGCGGAGGAAGAGATCTATACCGCCGAGGACTAGATCGCGCCTGCGGAGGAGGATCCAACCGGGGCGGCGATCCGGTTTACCACCGCGGGGGCCGCGGCGGCGCATACAACCAGGGCGGCGATCCGGTTTACCACCGCGGCGGCGCATTCAACCAGGGCGGCGGCGGAGGAGGATCCAACCACGGCGGCGGCGGAGGAGGATCCAGCCGCGGCGGCGGCGGAGGAGGATCCAGCCGCGGCGGCGATCCGGTTTACCACCGCGGCGGCGGATCCAACCGGGGCGGCGGAGGAGGATTCAACCACCGCGGCGGCGCATACAACAACAGTGCTCCGGCTTACAACCGCGCAGGCGCTCCTGTTTCTTTCTGCAGGAGAATCTTTCACTTCAGAAGATGGTATGTGATAATTAAACACTAATATGCTACTGTAAACAATTTTCCTTGTGTATTCTATGTGAAGTGCTTGCTGATCCTGCAGAAGATGAGCTCTTTGGCACTCCGGAAGCATTTCCTCGGGTTGACACAGAAACAGGGGATATGCCAGCCAGTAGTAGTCCTTATCGGCGCACCGAAGAAGTTAATTCTGCAGGAGAAACCTTGTTGTGTTCAGAAGGTAAAGTCATAACCATGTTAAAGACTAATATGCTACCCGGTAAACAATTGAGCACTTACTATGTATTTTTCAACTTTTAATTGTGTGAACAGAAAAGGGGCTCCTGATGTTTGGTCACTACAGCCATATACCACTTCCCGATTATGTAGTTCCATCCACTGATAATTGGCTAGATAGGGCTTCTAGTGTCAAAGTTGAGGGCAACTCAAGTTTGAGTTCAGATGAAGCTGACCCCCCTCAAGAGTTTCATTCGCCCCGAGTTTCTTTCTCTTTGGATGGTACGAACACTAATGTGCACATTTTGTGTATTATATGTTTTCGATGCTAACTGTGATTTTTTTAAATAACTTCTGTGTGTTTAAAACTCACACCAAACAGATGATGCTCCACCTGGGAGTCCAGCACACCCCATCACTCTGGCTCCTCTTCACCCTGCTGTCCTTTCGTGCACCGAAAATTGTCGAGACAGAGCTCCTAGGCTGCGCTTCAAATCTGGGAGTTTTTAGAGTTTTAGCTCAGATGAAGCTTGTCCAACTGAAGAATTTTGGTTACTAATGAACAACAAATCTTCATGTATGTTTACATATTTGGGTATTGTATGTCGGTTTGGTACTTTGCCTGTGCTCTACGAAGTATTTGCAAACCTGCAATATGTAGGGTTTCTTTGTTCCATCAGTTACGAGTTTACTTTAGTAAAGCTCAATGATGAGAACATGGGTTGCCCTCCTAGTCACATATGTTTTTTAGACTTGGCCATAGAAGATTACTAGTACCATCTGTTTTGTTACACTTTGGCCACATGTTTTCTTTTCTAGTTTGACGACTTCGCACACTTATTCAGAAAAATTTAAGAAGTGTTAACATTTTTCGTTGTTTGCCTTTGATTGTGATGCAAAAAAATTAATAGTTCCGGTAATCGGGATATGATAGCACGCTCATTTTTTTTTCGTCAAAATAGGGAATACATCGAATGGAATTTACTTTCCCACCCACATCTTTGTTGAATCTCATCGGTAGATCAGATCTATGGCTTTCAACGGCTCCGTGTAAGGAATTGCTACTTTTGCCCTTGATTATTTGTTCCATTTTTTGATTTTTTGTAGTTAAAAATGACAAACTTTCACATCTAATTAAATAAAGTTGATACCAGTATGATATATTGATATAAAATATATTATTTTCATTATTGATATTATTATTATCATATTTGTTTTGTATAATATTTTTAAAATATTATTTTATCCAATAAATATTTTTCATTAATTTTATTTAATTAATTTAATCCAATAAATATTTTTTTTATAAATTTTATTTAATTAAGGGTCATTGATAAAATTTGGTTGATTGGAAAAAATAATAACTGCACAAATACTTTTGAATGTAATCACTATCCGACGTCCACTAGTGCACACTTGATTTTAGGGAGATGGACCAAAGTAGGAGTAACAGAGTTGTCATATTCTAAAATAGGAGTATAAACTTAAACTCCCCTAACTAAGAGTAATTAACTTATTTACTCCAAAAACAATGACTTATGCATATTCCAAAACTAAACAATGACTAAATTCCAAAACTCCTTATTCGTACATGTGCTGAATTTTCAATCCCGGAGTTTGGTGCATTGTTCTAAGCTGCCTTATGCATGAATTTTCAAATCCTTTGTTTCCAATTAGGACCTTCACTGCCCCTCATCCATGCAATTTCCTCTTTAATTAATTATTTTTTTAAAATTATAAATTTTCATACTCTTTTACACACCCATACACTCAAAGCCTCTAAGTCTCAACCTTCGACAACTCTAGAAATTAGAAAAAGTTCAGTAATGTCAAAAATGTAATTTAATTTATTTTAACAACTTATCATTTGCTTAGAAGACTCTAGTGCCTCTTCAACTCTTCCATGAGAATATAATGTTGTAACATAATGACCATGTGAACATTGCCCTTGCTTTACCAAGTAGTTCCACAAACTACCGCCCAAATCAATCGTATGATTATTAAAGAAAAACTTTCAATGCTGCCGTGTTGTTGGCAAGAACTCTCGTTCAGCCATCTTGATTTATAGTAAATTGTTATTGAATCATTAACAAAACTGAATCGACAAAAAATAACAAATTTGAATGTAAACAAAATTAATTCAATAACAAAACACACCCAAAACTTCATCAACAAAAATGAATCAATACCTACATATAGAAACGTAGTAAATTTCTAAATTAAAATGTACATACAATGTCAAAAAAGATCACATCAAATGTCACATGTAATCATATAATAACAATCATGCCAATATATAAAGTCATACATGTGAATGCATAATGCTAAAAAAATAACAAATTTGAACGTAAACAAAATTAATTCAATAACAAAACACACCCAAAACTTCATCAACAAAAAATGAATCAATACCTTACATATAGAAACGTAGTAAATTGCTAAATTAAAATATCCATACAGTGTAAAAAAAGACCACATTAAATGTCACATGTAATCATATAATGACAATCATATCTATGTATAAAGTCATACATGTGAATGCAAAATGTTATTTCCAATTTTTTCTATTTCCTTCTAATTTTTTTTTCAATTTTTTTTAGTTTTTTCTAACCTTTTTGCATTTTCTAACAACAATAACTTAAAAATGTTTTTATATATGATGAATATAATATATATTATATATCTAAATTTATAACACACCACATCAAGCACAAATAATGATAAATATTTTTATCCAAAATTAGAGTTTTCTAATATATGTATCTAGTTGGTCATTTAATTGAATGACTTTTTAACGCTTAACTTTTTCCAACATTTTCTAACTCTACATAGTTTTCTCCAACTTATTTTTTTTCCAATATCAAACTCTGAAATTCAACCCAAAAGAACAGAGCGTAATTCACGCATTAATGATAATTGATTATAATCTAGAGTGCAGAATACATGCTTATGAGCTAGAAAATGGGACCAATATTAATTTGACAAATAGTAGAAATTTAAATGAAATTATTTTATACTCCCTCCGTCCGAAATAATTTCACATTTGACTTTTCTTGGTCAAAGTTTGTAAACTTTGACTATGATATGTGGAAAAAACACATTGTATTACGACATAACTTTAATATTAATATATATTCAATTTGAAATATTGTTTTCAAATATCAATTTTTTACAAAATATATCTATGTATAAATAAAGATATTAATGTTCACAGTGCAATTTTGGAGACCGTAAAAAGTCAAATGTAAAGAACATTTTCGGACGGAGAGAGCAATATAAAATGAACAAAACATTAAATTTTCTAAAAACACTTGATTATAGATCGGAAGCCCAACTCCATTACTTGATGCTCCGCATTAATTATGACTCTGGAATCCAAACTCTATCATTTATGGTTAGGAAGACAAAAGGACAACCGCAAGATTGCATATTACCCTGCCGAATAATGTCCATTGATCGATCAAGAATTTCCAATCAACGGTGATTAGAGGCGTGCAGCTGGGCGGGGAAAAAATAACCCTATATATAATAATAATAACATACTGTAGAAGTATAGATAGAAGTATAGATTATTATTATTATTATTACAGAGTATTATTATTATTTGTTATTTTTGTTGTTCTAATTACTTCAGGGTATTATAATTATTATTATTATTCAATTCAAAAATTATAAATATTATTATAGCAGTTATTATTATTATTATTAAAATAAATTAGTATTTTTACTTCTATAATTTTTTAAATAAATACTAATTCCCCTGCCAAAATATTTAATGTATAATTTATAAATTTAAAATGATTTTCTCTGATATTTATATAGTTATAAATTATACTTCGTCCCAAATTCATTTACACTATTTGATCAATGTGTAAAATATTATATTTTAAAATATGATTTTATCTATAATTTCATATAAAATAAAAAAAATACAATTCACATATTATGAAAACTATGAAAATTTCTATAAAAAACATGCAATGAAGATATTTTATGTTGTCAAGTAACTAATGAAAATACATGAGTAAACAAAATTTATCGAGAGACACAAATAGTAAAAATGTAAATCATTTTGAAACGGAGATAATACGCAATAATTTACACTAATATGATGAAAATTTAGCACTGTGTACTTTAACGACAAAATCTGTGAGATTTCATATAACGTGGTCCATATATTTTATATGGATCGGAAGTAAATAACAGAGTAACAATTTTAATTTTATAAATTATACAAAAATTGTTACTCGGGGTAGAATATAAATAACTATTTCTGGGTCACAACCATAAGCTTGAGCTTTTGGTTGAGTCGGTTTCTTGACAAAAATCGATTATCAAAATTAATTTTCAATTAAAGACATAAAATATTATTTTAGCATTATACCAATACAAAATATTGGTACATCAATACAGTGTACAAAATGAAATACAAATTTTTAGAGTACAAATAGCTTTATCATTAGAAAAACAGAACCATAATTTTTAATTTGAAGAAATGGAAGCAACATTTAATTCATTGTTCTAAAATAGGGATATTGCATTATTTTAGTTTATTCATTAGAAAAACAGAACCATAATTTTTAATTTGAAGAAATGGAAGCAACATTTAATTCATTGTTCTAAAATAGGGATATTGCATTATTTTAGTTTATTCATTAGAAAAACAGAACCATAATTTTTAATTTGAAGAAATGGAAGCAACATTTAATTCATTGTTCTAAAATAGGGATATAGCTATAATATTTTGATATGAATCTTCATGAAATCGATCTACAGCAATGGTCAGTTTTTTTTTTTTTTTGCATGGGTATTCTGAGCATTTCAAACAGTTATTAATAAGGAATTTGCCCTTGAGGTAGGTTCTGATATAACCAATACTCTAATTATTACATGTGTCCGTTCGTACATGTACATTTTGTATTTTAGTTTTGTATGCATTTAAGGCCCTTTTTCTTATTGCAAAGCCATTTTCCTTATGAGTGTGATTACTGGGTTTAAGTATCACTTTCTTCTCTACTTTTATTCTATGAATATCCTGAGAATTCAAAAAACATAAATATAAGAGAAAATTTAATAGCAACACACGAAAGACAAATATCTTTTATATATATATATATATACACACACACACACACACACACACACACACATACACACATACATACATACATACACACATACACACATACACACATACATACATACATACATACATACATACATACATACATACAATTCACATGTACTTTTGGAGTACAATAATCAAATAAAACCAAGCAATTTAGAAAATTTTCATCAGATGGGCAAACTTACATAGGTAGTTGAAGGGAAAAAAAATCCTTCATTGCTAATATCATATGTGCATGTTACAAAAAATCTCCCATTATCTTGACCTGCAATGAAATAACATTATGCAAAATGTTTAAATAATGAGAGAGAAAAAACATAGCTAAATCTAATTTATATTGATTCAAATATATTTTACATAAGAATAAGCAAGTTGTGATGGAAATTTTCCTGATTTAACTGTTCAAGCATCTGCAATATTCAACTGATGTTCAACATGTAGAATAATTTTAATATTCATCTTTTCTGTGGATTTTGCTTGGATAATGTTCAATATGCAAATTGGCAATTTCCAACAATTACATTATCATTGTATAAAATTATCATTTACTACTCTGTATCAAACATCAAATATCCAAGTATCTAACAAATCAAATACCAGCACACTAACCAATTAATCCAAGAATACAACACAATACTCACAAACTTAAAAAACTCCAAAAATTTGAATTAAAGAAATATAATAAAGACAAGAAATTAGGGACATGGAAATATCTTAGTGAAGGAGAGTGCCAGAGTGGGTTGCTGCAATGTTGACAAGTGGAGCTGCGGCGCGGAATCGGGAAGGTGAGCCGCCAACGTATTGATGGAATTCTAGAGTTTTTATCAAAATCGGTTGCTCCCTGGCGATCTGAAAATGTGCACCGGGTACTCAGGGAAAGCAAAGTCGATCGGAAGTGGCGAAAACGAAGAGACGATTTGTGTGCAGATCTGAAACCAGCCCCAGTCCCCGTGTCATCATATGAGATCCTTGGTTTGGAAAAGAAAATGAGTGTAAATCTCAAAAGCAAAGATACAAACTTTTGTATGTTTAAAATTTGAAGTGTAAAAATTAGACTCTTATTAATTTGAGGACTTTTTGTTGAAGTCTTCACTTGGAGGGAGCATCTGAGATGAAAGGAAAGAATTTGAAAGGGCGTCAGAGAGAGAAGATTTCTAAGGGGATAGGAGATGATATCAGACCGACGGAGGGGGTAGCTTAGAGAGAGAAGATGGATGAGAAGTTTTTTTTTTAATCACGAGATGGGTGGGTAGATCATAGATGGATGAGTTACCTTGTAAGTGGCTTTACCTGATGAGGGTGAAGTAGAGAGATTATTTAATCTTTTTTGCCATTTATGGAAAGTGGATAAATATTGTGAGATGAATCAATCATGGACGAACTTTACCTTCCCCAGGCTTAGCTCCGATGATCGTGGTAGAAATCTGCGAGGTGACCCACACCACACTCCCCCGGTTATAAATGAACAATGAAAAAGATTCATGGAAGAATACAAGGACAATGAAATCTGTGACTACACCGAAATTCTTGACAACAACCAAGTGGTTGACCCAACAAAGTAATCCCCGTTCCTGATGATGATGAGGAGGAGGAGAGAAAAGAACCTGACGATTCAGAATGCATTAATGCTCTCAAGAAATTAATTTTGGACGTAGGAGACATTAATGAGCAGGATGAGGCAGCCATAATTGAAGTTTGGATCGCACAACTCATTGATGCTGTGTACAGACAGAGTTCCCTGGCCCAGAAACAGGGGAGGAGGAAAATGAGGAAGAGGAGGAGAGGACTTGACCCATCTGCATGAAAATAATTGAACCAGACGAGACATGGACTAAGGTGATTTGCTGCTCTTAAGTTTTCCACCTTGATTGCATCTCGATGTGGACCAAACATGGAAAAAAGTGCCCCTGGTTCCGTTACTCCCTGCCTCTCATGGTCCAGTTGGCAAATGGCTTTATTCAGCGAATGGGACCAGATGTTTTGCATGTCCCGGTCTCCTCTAGGCTCTTCTATTTTCCTGAAGAAGCATGGGTAAAAAAGGCTAGCATCTAAAGTGCTGAAAAGGCAAGCAGCTAAAGTGGAATGAATACCTGAGAGTCCACTCATACGGATGAGATTCGACGAAGCAGGAGCTGCGATGACCTGGCTCTGCCTTGGGACACTGTGGATGAATACGGCTAACTTATTGTACCTAAAGCTCTCCTACCTCTCAAATACTCTGTGTGGAGTATGAAGAAAGCCTTATATAGATCATGACTGATCTTATTTGGAAAGATATGCGGTCCAGATCCACTGTACTGTAGCAAAGCAAATAGGCAGTTGCACGGTTGCCCCAATAGAAGTTGCCCCAATAACTTCACTATTTCTCAAAGTGTTAGAATGTGTATACATATTGAGGATAGAACACGCTTCATTAATATCAATCTTCCCATTTGATTGAGTTTTTTTTACCATACCACTGAAAATATTTCTCAAAGTGTTACAGGAGGTCCTGGCAGAGTATGTTTTTGAGTTTCCCTTTGACAATGTGAGATCCAAAATGTTTGAATGGGCTGGTTCCACATTTGATGTCTAGGTTTTTCTGAATAGCCTCACTTTTCTGCTGGACAGTTTTGCTGTCACCAATGGCTTGACTCTTCGAGTAGTTAATTTTATGTCCAGATGCCTCCATGTAACTAGACAGCAGCTTCTTGAGTCTCAAAATACTTCTACTATCAGCATTGAAGAAGAGGATGATGTCATATGCATACATTAGATGTGAGATTGTATTCACTCTTCCTACCTAGAAAGTGGCTTCAGAAAACCAGATTGGATGATGTTGTTGATAGCCATGGAAATGCCATCGGTGCTCCGGATGAACAACAATGGAGATAATGGAACTCCTTGCTTCACTCTACACTTTATTGGGAAGAAACCAGAGGATTGACCATTAACCAGTATAGAGAAATTAGTAGCATCAAGGTTCCCCTTCAGTAACTGATAGCCTTGTTGGAGAAAACAAATCTGCCAAGGACATTTAATTTCAAGATAGTGTCATGAGATTCTATCAAATGCCTCAGATAGGACATTTTCAAGATAGTGCCATGAGATTCCCTTGTCGAAATGCATCTTGCTCTTGAGATATCAGCTTATTAGTGATCCTTTTCATTCTTTCAACCACCAGCCTCTTGATATAATTTTGCTGAAAAAAGTAGAGAGAGATATAGGTCTAAATTGATCAAGGTTTTTAACCAATTTAGCTGTAGGGATCAAAGTAATGAGGGTACTCCCAAAAGTACTCCTGCACAGCTTTACAAACATCAGTATGGATAATATCCCAAGCTTCCCTTAAAAAATACCCATTAAAACCATCAAGCCAGCTGAGTTAGGACTGAGAAGCCACACATTCTCCTTTATTTCTTCCAAGGAAGGAATCCTGCATATTAGTTCATTATCCTCCTGGGTGACAAGTCAGGGAATGTGATTCAGAATGTCAGATCATCAATGACCTCAAAATGAGTGGAGGAATAAACTCTTGAGAAGTGATCCACTGCTGCTCTCTGGATGTCACTTTGCATAGTGTATACCATTATCATCTCTGATAGTAGGGATGAGCAGTTTCTGCCTTCTCCCTTTTACATAGGAGTGAAAAGTTTTAGTTGAAGCATTTTCTTGGGATATCCACCTGGGGTTGGCCTTTTGAGCCCAGAACGATTATTCCTTCTTACAACAAGGCTGCAAAAAAAGAGCACTTGCCAAATTGGCTTCCCTAACACTATGTTTGGTTCAAGGAATTTGAAATGAAAAAGAAAAGAAAATGAAATGGAAAACAATTTTTCTTGTTTGGTTTGAGAGAAAAAGAAAAAAAAAGGAAGAAAAAGAAAATGAGAAGATAAAATGTACTAAGAGGGAAATCCAAATTCCTCCCATTTAGGTGAGAAAAATAGTAGTCATTTTCTTTTCTTTTTCTTCCAAATTTTTGAACCAAACATAGTGTAAGGGTTTGATCATTGTCATTTAGTTTAAGCATTTGTTGAGCCAAGCCCGCCCTAGCCTCAGTCTTTTAACTTCTTCAAGGATATGTCCAAATACATCATTTTTCCAGGCTTTACATTATGTTTGGTTCAAGGAATTTGAAAGTAAAAAGAAAATAAAATGAAGTAGAAAACATTTTTTCTTGTTTGGTTAGAGAGGAAAAGTGGAAGGAAAAGAAAATGAGAAGGCAGAATGTACTAAGTAAAACTGCTATTACCCATGTCATGAGTCAAGATAAACTAAAACTGGTTATGCCTTCTGGACCCTCTCAACATCCCATTCAAATATGGAGGTAAGAAAACATATATTCATATAGATTGCCACAATCAAAATTATTAATCTGGGATGCCATATATACTAATAAAACTTCAAAGTTCATCTCCAGCATGCCTATTTCACATCCGAACCTATACCAAGACAATTTCCTGAGCAGCATCAACATTTCTGAACATGCTCAAAAGTAAAACCAAACCTGTGGCGGCAGACCATAACCAATACCCAATGCTTAAGTCTCATTCATTCAAAACCCATGAAAAACAGCAACCCTTCTAACTATAACCGTCAAAGAAAACATTCGACCTGTAGCACACCTGGAAAGCCCTTCGAGATAAAAAAACAACTGCTCTAACAAAACCCAACTGCGCTAGCAATCTGGTACCAGAAGAAATGAGGTTTTAAAAAACATGGAGTCATAAAAAGGAAGGCAGTCCCCTCCTCTGATGCCATAAACATAACCATTGCAGTTTAGTATTGTGAAATTGCAGTAGTATATCTATAAAAGGTTCTCTTAGAATACTAAGGTCATGCTCATGAGGTAAGCACCCATGATGTCATACCTTGACTAAATTAGGCTTTAGCTTTCTATATATTTGTGTATATCCTTCATTTGAAAAGTATGCAATCAGAGAGTATTCATCATTCATCTCTAGATTTCACATGGTATTAGAGCAATTTTTGGCATATAACAATTTCCAAATAATGGTCACAACAAAATTGTGGGTTATTGCGATGGAGACTGGGTGGTTCTATTGATAGACGATCTACATCTGGTTATTGCGTTTTAATTGGCGATAACTTGATTTCTTGGAAAAGCAAAAAACAAGATGTGGTTGCAAGATCAAGTGCAAAAGCTGAATATCGTGCAATGGCTCTTGTAACGTGAAATTCTGTCACTAAAGCTTCTACTCTAGGAATTGAAGTATGGCAATACAAAACCCGCTCAGTTAATATGCGACAGCAATCAGCTATACACATTGGTTCCAATCCTGTATATCATGAAAGAACTAAACATATCGAAACTAATTGTCAATTCATCCGAGAAAAAATTGTTGCTGGTCATATTGTTACAAGCTATGTCGGCACAGAAGATAAACTTGCATATATTCTTACAAAATCAGTGAGAGGACCGAGAATAATATATATTTGTAACAAGATTGGAGTATACAATTTATATACTCTAGCTTGGGGGGAGTGTGAAATAGTTGTAGTATAGCAGTAAAAGATTCTTTTAGAATAGTAAGGTCATGCTCATGAGGTAAGCACCCATGATGTTGTACCTTGCTAAATACGCTTTCGTTTTCTATTTGTTTATGTATATCCTTTATCAGAAAAGTATGCAACCAGAGTGTATTCAACATTTATCTCTAGATTTCACAAGTACCAATGTCTAATCTCATTCAATTCCTTCAATCTCTTTGCTCCTTTAGCTTAAACCACAGACCAGCGGCAATTAAATCTGCAACCTCCGTGATGGCATCATCTGCAAGACACAGCAAGATAGTTGAATGTGCTTTCTCCTCCCAGTAAAAATTGGTGGCGGCAAAATTTTTTTCATCCCAATTGGACTATGTTTTTTATATACTCCGTATTAGTAATATAATACTCCGTAGATGACTCGACGAACTCAACAACACTCTCTCGTGGACCATGATACACGACATGTAGATCATTCTGACAGCAAAACCAGATTATCAAACATATCAAAAGTCTCCGGGGTTGGGTGAGGAAGGGAAGGGCCATTAGGACTGTTCCCTCCATTATATGAGATGTTCCAAATACCTTATGCACTTCACAATTTGGTAGGTGGTGGAGGTATCAAGTCCAGTAGTTATCTCATCCATAAACAGTGTCTTTCTACGCTCAACAATCATCTCTCCTGCATTGACAGGTTCAAAAACAGGTCTATTTTCTTGTTGATTTGACAAAACCAAAAATTAGTCTTTAAGGATTTTGCTCCAGGTCGACATTTTTCTACCCAATTCATAGGGATTTACAAAAATTCAGAATAAATATAATCTGTAAGAAATACAGGATTTTCCTACATACTTACTCAGTAGGAAAAAAGAAACGTTTTTTTGGAGTGAACGAAAACAGTATGAAGTGAACAATTGGGATGTGACTGACTGCACGTTATTTTTCATATAAAAGCGTATCTGATTGTAGAAGGAGAGTATAACGTATGGACTATTAAACTCTTTAATTTTGTGCATTCAAAACTATGGGAATAAGAATGATGTGTATCACAGAGGGAAAAAAATAAATAAAGAGAATGCACGAGATAGAGGAAAACCTTTTGTAAGTTGTAAAGATAAAGGCTTTTAAGTGTGTGTGGATGGCAAAGAAGCTCTCCTTTTCAAGATATAAAGCAAAAAATATTAGAATGGTTTGTTATCTTTGTTTCTGTTTGATGAGTGTTCACCAAACTTATCTAAACTTAAGACCACATCAAATTATCTCAAGGCTAATAACAATAAACCTGCATTTGGCACCCAAGAATTGGATATTAGATGCAGCAACTTCCAAGTCAGGGAAATAAACTAGGCAATGGTTCTTCTCAAATCAAGTTTCTTGTAACCAAATCCAAAATTTTAAGTATCAAATATCTCTTCGACCATGTAACATATTGCAAAAAAGAAAGAGCTTTTCCATAAAACATTACATTGAAATTGAGACCAGAGGATAATATATTGAAGGAGTGCACTACCTGTGAACAGCTACAGCTTTATTACTCTCATCATCCATTAAATGGATATTTGCAAACTGTGTTGCACAAAACAGTGCCTTATTGCTAGCAAATGTTAAATAAATAAAAAATCTTCTTGGACAGCCTTATAATACTTTGCCACTATAGAAAATTAACTAGCCAGTATAAATAAGAGTAGCATCCAGTTTGATTGAGGAATCAAAGTTATCAAACTGATGCTAATGGCTAAGCTCTTATCATGTCAATGTTTGCAGTTTGACAACCACAGTTGCAACCGAGCTCATGTACTACCTGAGTGGTCCACCAAACTCTTTCAGACAAAAGATGCCATAATATCAGCAATAGATCATGAAACCCAGGACGACTTGTACAAAAAAAATGTTCAGAATTGAGACGTCGAATCAGACCCTTTGCAGACTGAAGCACGAGTGGCAAGGAGGAACGGCACCAGGGGCACTTGTTGACGCGTTCGGCTGTCCAAATTGAGATGCAATCGCGGTGGAAAGCTTTAGAGCAGCAAGGCATCTTCCTCCATGTCTTGTGTAGTTCTAATATTACTTCCAAGCAGATGGGGCAAGTCCGCTCCTCCTCGTCGTCTACCACAATTGCCTTCTTAGTTACAGGCCAAGCAAGTCTTTTGATGGCATGAATTACATCCCAAAACCATTTGTCTATATAGGCAGACTCCTCCTCTTCATCAACGCCTCCTGCTACCACAATTAACTTCTTGATAGAATCTACAAATTTTGCCTGATCAAATTCTTCTTTTTCTGTTTGAAGACCATAACTCATGAAGGCGTAATCTCTTCTACCTTCCGGACAGATTGCTCTTCCTTGTTCGTCAATCAGCGGGAGTGTAAGGTGAGTCACCTCTAAGATATGCACCAGAAGCTTTGGAGCTACGCCCACGAGATGTAAGGCGCCAACACTCTGCGGGGGGACTCCGCGGATGATGAGCTGATGATAGGATTTGGGAACATTAAGGAGAGTAAGGGTTTCGGATATTTTAAGATTGTGATCATCATCTATTATTAATCCCTCGTCTGTAGACCAAGGAAGCTCGAGGGATGACTGCCTTCTCTCCCGCCAACCCTTCTTCTCCAGGAACTCCGTCATAGGATTTCCTGCCACGCTTAATCTAAAGATGCTCTGCACTTGGAACACAACTGATGATGATAATGGGGAAATTAGGTTTTTCTGCTGGACGAAGTCGCAGTTAACTTCGTACCTTAAAGCTACAGATCCCGAAGAAGCCATCGGTCGTTATCGAATAATACCCCCAAAAACTTCCGACATGTACGAGGACTGACGAATACTCCGCATAATATAGGGGTGGCGCCTTTGGGTTCCCTAATTTTTAAAAGCTTCGGGTTTAACCCTAAACTCATTTGTTACTATGTTTCTGTAATAACGGATCGTACCGTGTCATACTAAGCCAAACAACGGAAGAAATTCAAATCCTATATTTAAGAGTTGATAAAATTTTGACGTGTGGCCCAAATTTAGAGTGCTATACAAATTAGCTTACACGTGTCTCTCCTTCCGCTTGATTAACGAAGCTTCCCATACACTAGAATGCCACCACATGGATGCTACCATTGGTGCACCCATGCTTCGCACAGACAAACACAGACGATAATTGTCTGTGCGACACAGACAATTATCATCTGTGTTTGTCTGTGCGAAGCATGAGTGCACCCGTAGCACCGTAGCACCCATGTGGTGGCACCATGGTCCAAACTTTTTTCCAAAAAGATTTTTTTTCCAATAGGTTTCTTCTTGGAAATCTTTTTCCCAAAAGGAAAGAATCCGGAAAATCTGCGCTCACTTTCTCTTCTTCGCAGAAGGAAAGAGTTCAATTTCTCTGGTCTTCTCCACCTAAAGAAATGTTTGAATTTGGAAGATCTGAGCTCTATATTCCGTCTTCTCTACTCCGAATTCATTTACTTTGATTGATTTTGGTAAGTCAAACCTGCATCTTTGCATCTAGGTTGGGATTAAATATCAATTTTTAGGATAGAATGTTGCATCTCGATTCCAATTACATATAAATTCACACAGTTTGATTATTTTTTTGCTGGTGTTATGCATTTTTCCTAATTGCCAACCTGTTGTGAATGGAAAATTTGAGGTTTTAACCTAGATTTTGTTCTCCAAATTGAGAATGAATATTCATGTGGAAAATACTAATTTCAGTATCTTTTTTGTAGCAGGAGATCGGCAAATCAGTTTGCCCAATTCACACTATTGCAAATATTCTTAGCCATTTTCCCTATTCAAGTGCATCTACTCATCCAGGTTGTTGCCTTATTTTTTTTAAAGAAAGATTTCTTTTAATCTTTTTCGTTTCATGTTTATGAATTATTCATAGTTTGTTAGATGTCAAATTTTTACATATTTTTAATTACGGAGTATAATTATATTTTATAAATTTTCATAAATAAAATATTATCATTACATACATGTTCATTAGAATATAAGACATTAATGTATAAAAAATTAAAACTCTATAACTGATAATTCTTAGGAGTTATAATTCTGATTGTGATTGTAATCAAAACTTCATTTATAGTCATGCAAGCTCATCAAAATGAGAGATGAATTTTGGCAAAAGATGCAAGAATACGACGAAAAGATACACGTCAACAAAAAATGGAACACAAAGGTGTTTTTAAACATAAGTTATTAAATCTGTAAGTATTTTAAAGATGTGTATTGTTTAAAGTTAGTGAATAAAAACTTTTAAAATATTCATTTAATTATTTCAAATTATAATTGCAGATTGAGTGTGATCATCAACACACATAACAATGTCACAATCTACATCAATGATGAAAAGAAACCTGTTACGAGATTTGACGTAAAATGAACAACTTTTTATATTTTGTATTACAAAGATATGGGACAAGAACGTAAAATACAAAGTAGTCATTGGCTCATATTTGAAAATCTGATTATATAGTATTAGCATCACATCAAGTAGAATCATTAGTTAGAAGTTATTCAAGTAAAAAAAAGTACAATGATCTATCCTCTATTCACGTGCCATTAATTTCAACCAAGGTAAAAAACAACAATGGTCAATATTTTTTTTACAATTTTAAAATGAATACCTCCAATATATTTATTAATCTAAGCTCTCTATTTTGTGGTTTGTGAGTTCATTGCTTCTCATCGATAATTTAAAAAAACAGATGATTTGCACTAAATTAGTTAAAGTTGTTACCTTTTATATTGCTCTTTTTTGGTCAAGATTAGCAGCGACTTGGAAGATGTACACGTAGCTGCTTTTTTATGCATCTTCAATTTGCAATCTGTACTGCTAAGATTGTTTTTGCTTTGTTTAACTTTTGATTGGCATCTTTGACTTTAGTCTAGATTTTGGAATTTAATCTTTGGTGTTGTCATCATAGGAATTTTGGTGTACAGTTTCATTATAGTTTCGGGTTTTTTTCGAGGGGATTCGACTGGATCTTTCCCTCTTGGTCTCTATTTTTTGGTTGGTGATAAACATGGAAGATGTACATGTAGCTGCTTTTTGATGCAGCTTCAATTTGCAATCTGTACTCCTAAGGCTGTTTTTGCTTTGTTTAGCTTTTGATTGGCATCTTTTACTTTAGTCTAGATTTTGGATTTTAATCTTTGGTGTTGTCATCATAGGAATTTTGGTGTACAATTTCATTTTAGTTTTGGGTTTTTTCAAGGGGATTCGGCTGGATCTTTCCCTCTTGGTCTCTATTTTTTGGTTGGTGATGAACATGGAAGATGTACATATAGCTGCTTTTTGATGCATCTTCAATTTGCAATTTGTACTCCTAAGGCTGTTTTTGCTTTGTTTGGCTTTTGATTGGCATATTTGACCATAGTCACAGAATTCGTTTACCTAGCCGCGAATTCCGAATTGGTACAAATCGTACCGGATCGCAAGTCGCCAGCGATCCAATCGCTAGTGGTACGGCGATCCAATTTGGGTTGGTACGGTGTTCCAATTCGCAATTCGCCGGCGATCCATATGCCCTCGAACGTCGCACCAAGTCGGAGAATGTGGAGTACCAATCGCCGGCGGTCCAGCGATCCAAATCGCAAGTTCGTCTCTTCCGCGACCTTCCCTCTTCCAATTTGCGTCAATTCGCGATTGCACTCCCCCAAGTTTCGTGCGAGTCGTTCCTATTCTCCGTGCGTCTCTCAATGGTTCTCTGACTTAATGTTTCGTTTTTTCTAGGCAGTCTCCATTCTCCAAATATATATAATTATATTATATATATATATATATATATATATATGTCTCATCTCTCAAGTCTCTCAGTCTCCATTCTACAAATATATATATATATATATATATATATATATATATATATTTTAAGAAAAATATTATTAAGGGTCAAGCCCAAAAGAGAGTACAAAACATGGAAGAAAGAAAACGAAGATGATGCACTCAGCATCCTAAAAAGAAAAAACAAGAGGAAAAGGGAAAAAACCCCGAAACAAGGACCAAAACAAGGAAAGTGAGTTACACCCAAAGCAAACAGGCCAACGGACAACTCGAACAATGCAACCTTCCACCAGCCCATTAAATGATTCCGACCAGAGTTGCAGCGCCTAAGAAAACATTCAAATCCATAAAAGCACAAAGCACTACAAATCCCCATGGCCTAAGATAATAGGCACCTGACTCGGTAGAGCCTACAAATTGATTCCAACTAGTGTTCCAGCGCCTGGAAGGGAAAAAGGCTGCTCAAACAATCCATGTATATTGCAGTAGACAAAGAAGGCAGCACCACAATCCAACACAAGCCAAACCCTCAAATAAAGTACCACAAGTGGGGTGGCCAGTTGCCTTACACTTCGGCCAGAGCTGATCTTGTATTATCTCCACACCAGGGAACATGTAATCTGCAGGAGCTAAGTGAAAGGCCCTCGAGGAGCTCCAAACCATTATTCAAGTCAGCACAGTGGACTCACTCCTCAATTAGACCATCATCATTCATCATCTACAATCATCCCGTTACATGAATACGCCCAAATCTTCTAGCCAAATCTCCCCAATGGCATGGAGGAGACCTAACCCAAGGTGATAAGAGAAACATTTGGCCTAGCAACCAAACTAAACCATTATTCCCAATTGCATCCAACCGTAGTGCTCACCGCTGTGATTCCTACGACTGGTCATACTTTGCTCCCAAAAAAAAACAGACAAAGTTTAAAAGTCTCCTCACTAAACTATTTTGGGAAAATGAGATAAGAAGACCAGTATACTATGAGAAACCAGAGGAACAAAAACCATCTTAACAACAGAAACTGGCCAGCAATGTTGATTATATATAAAAATCCTCTTCATCATATCCCAAAACAGAAACCTGGTTGTGTTTCTTTTTCTTTTTCAACTTCTTTTTCTGGCTTTTGCTCATTGGCTTTGTAGGAGGTTTTGGTACTTCTTTTTTGTTTGGACAGCAAAGCTTGAAGAAATTAATTATCTCTTCTTCATGAGATTCCTGAGGATCAAACAGTTCCTGTTCCTCTTCCCATCCAATAGGTCTGACCCTCCTGCCTTGGGCTAGAAGTTTAGCCCTACTTCTTGTAACAATTTGAGAAGGGGAGTAAGTTTTCCTTCCCTTTTGTTCTTTGCGCAGATATAAGGAATTCACCGGGCATCTTGAGAGATCTATTTGAAGTGGTTTAAGCATGGTATCTATGAAAACTAAGTCCTCTCCCTCTGAATGTGTGTATAGAATGGGCCCTTCCCTTTCCGTAGTGTGATCCTCCACTGCATTAAAGCTTAGAACCAGGCCATGATCATTCATTTTTGAGAAAGGATCCTCTTCATCCAAGCAAGCAGCATTAGACTCCTGGTCTGAATCTTGGGTGTGAAGAGTAGCAAATGGATTATCTGACAGCGGTATAAATGGAGATGCATAAGGAGATAAGATCTTTCTTGACAAAGGTGGAGAAAAAACTCTGTCAGATTTGGAAAGGTGGTATTTAGGTTCTGCTTCCCCCTGGAAAATAACAATCTGTCCATCTGTAAAGCTGCATTCTTTCAAAGGAAACTGAGAACCTGATTCTGGTTCTTCATTGCCTTCCCTTGTAGGGGCTGAGTGGTTATTCCTTTCCGGTTCTTCAACATCATTTGAGAGTGGAATTTGTGTGTGCAGGATTGGTGGCCCCTTGGTGTGCTTAATTTGGGTATCAGGCTCTAAATCCTTTTGTTCTGTAGGAACAAATGGTAACTGCACATTTTCCTCCACCAATGGCAGTGTAGGGCAAACTGAAGTAGCTCTTTGAATAAACTTAGAGAGTGCCCTGATGAAAATTTCCAGCCCATCCTTGTTGGAATCAAAAGGGATGATTAAAAACCTCTTACCCTCTCTCCTTC